CCATCGAAGAATTTCAAAATGCGCGATGTCCCACGATGCTTTATTGATTTGGAATAACGCCGTTATCGAGAAATCAATGACGCCTCCGCGGTGGTGAGCAGCGAGTCGCGGTGTTGAAAGTTTAATTCAGCACGCAGAGGCAGCAGGGTAACTCACGCGCCCTCGTGAGATCGAGGCGTCGTGGACTTCGCACTCTCAACATTCGTTTCGCTGGAAATAGATTGAAGTGTCAAATTGCAGCGACCGTGTATAAAGTTGACCTTTACGCGCCGGTGTAAGAGACCGGTCGGTTAGAAAAAAAGTCCCACCACTTAGAACGAGGATGATCAATCTTACGTAAAGGAAACGATTCCACGGCGTTTCTTTACGCGGAAATGTAAAGAAACGTACAAAGACAGATAGCGTCGGAGCAACCGACGGGCCCCCGGCCACGTTCTCGCGGAGAGGGCTCGGGCAAAGTTTCAGCACTACCACTGGAAACACGTCGGAAGCTGCGGTAATTAAGCTCCCGACGGCACGGGGGTCGAATCGGCCTAATTATTCCGGCGATTCGAATGTAATTTATGACGCCACGGTGTAAATTATATATTGTCAAAGCAATTCGATTACCTCGATAATTCGAATGTAATAGTACCATAATGCGTCGGAAACATGCCTCACGATTAATTGATGCGTTATTAAATCGCGACGTCGAGTAATTTACGATTTACGTCGCCCGACATGCGTACGCGCGCACCGCGTGCAAAAGTGTGACGCGCACTAATAATTGCATTCGGCGCACCGGTTCGTCGTCAATAGTCTTCGGGCATCCCCCGCGGTTTGGCGCGGTCGACAACTGAGAGATCTCGATCGATTTTTTCCAGTCGAAATTTCGACCCTACGTTAAACCTCCAATTCTATAACACAGTAGGAACTAAAGTAGGTTTAATTCGAATGTTATAATTTCCTACTTTGGTTATAATGTGATAATGTCGTAAATTTCCATCTTCTTTGTTTTTAGCGTCAAAATAGCTTTTCCGATTCGTATAAATTTAATAGTCGAAGTATTAAGAGTACTTATAGTTTCAAGGTAGCATTATAAAATCTGTAGAATTAAAGGTTTATGAGAGAAGTTAACGAGGATCTAATCGTCTATATCGTCGATCTATATCGTCAAAGGGAGCAGATTGGCGGAAAGCGAATAGGATCTTCAGTTTGTTACATTTAAGTACATTAGAACTACAGATCCTGCTCGATTTCTGTCGTCAGTCTGTCATTATACTCTGTCGTCAGATCCGATTTCTGCCAGCAAGCTGTTCATAGAGCTTACAGCAGGCACTGCACAAAATCTGCTTTTGCAGGTTCAGCTGTCTGGGAATGTCTGCATATTATTTCTTAATATCATAGTAGTTCTTCATGAAAATCTTATTTTTGGCCGCTATCGCGAGCGCGCCACACACGTGCTACGGCCGCTATTAGGAGGCTGCTTCGAAACACGGTGCCTCGGTCACGCGAACCGCCTCCCCGGCATCACGTAAACGCGCGTGAAATTGATAATTGAGCGCGTGTCTGCGATATAATCGCGTGTTACGATATCGTCGTGGTACCGACCTGGTCCCGGCGGGAAGCGGCCCGTGAATTCGTCCTGCGACCTGGCAGCCCGCCAGGAATGTCGCGGCTCGCGAGGTCCACGCACCCCCCGCCGCTCTCTTACGCCCGCGACTTCCCACGTCATACACACGTACATACTCCTCCTCCCTCTCCTCAGGAATTCCCGCCACCTCGTCGACGAGAGCGCAGGACGTCCGATTGGCGACACGTCGAGTGTTGTACGCGCGCCACGGGGATTTCCCTTGGAAATTGCAACGTGAATAATTCGTCGCAATATGCAACGTTCGCCGCGCCCCGGCCTCCTGAAATTTCTATCAGGCCGTGCCTTGATTCGCGCCGCTTAAAGCGCTCCTGAAGATTCTGACCCGTAAATTCGACTCTGCATTAATAATGACGGCACAAAGCGGCGAATGTTCCTGTCGCTGGACGAGAAATCATTTCCGTTTTATTCGCGCGCTACTCGCGCGCACTGGCACGTCCGTCCGCTGGTTTTCCTCGTCGCGCAAGTCGTCACGAAACACGTCGGCAAAACACAAAGAATTCGATCGACGAAGGTTTCGCAGAATTAGATCGTTATTTGCAACGGGAAATTGTATTCATCGTAAATCGGAAACTGCCGCAAGATATTCCCTACCGCCGGATTTCGTATTCGATATTAATTAATTTTCGATCGTGCTTCGCGAATGGACGATACAATTTCGCGATATGATTTCGCGCGAGACCGACGTATCTATCGTGTTGCAGCTGCGATATTAAGTTCCGCGGGGTCACGTTAAATAATATCGCGATGATATCGCGATATAGTTATCATAGTACGCTAAAAAATATCCCGAATTAACACTCAAGTTGCAGCGACGGTCAGCTCGATCCGCCATCAGTGGCGGAGAAATACGTAAAAACTTGCCAAGCAGAAACAATTATTTTTCTGCGAACGCCAGGGAATCCGCCCACTCGCTCGGTATTACTCCTGTCCGGGTGAACTGATAAAACTCTTTTCCCAACTTTTTCGCGCGCGTCAGCCGTTTCTTCAACGGCAATCTGTAAGCAGCGAGCCAACAGCCCTATTCATACCTCTGTTAAGCTAACATCTCGACACGAAAAATCCAAACGGGAACTATATTGGAATTGAGTGTTAATTAGCTAATTCAATATCACATCCCCGATTTCAATGTACGAGCGGTTTAGCAGGAATTCGCGTTTGAAGATGGCGATGCCAACTTATGTCAACTTATCAATGCTACTACGCGAGAAAATTCCATGTAGAAATCCATGTAGGAATGCACACGGTGTGTGAAAATCTATATAGGAATTCACATGGATTGTTACCTAGGACCTAGATTTTTGACGCAAATTCCTAGAGGCAATCTTCAGGTTCCATATGGATTTACTGTATGAATTCCCACCTGATTTTTCCAGCAGGATAGCCTTCACCGCACGCGGTGATTCTACTTTTTCTTTCCGCACTAAACGAATCCTTAATCCCAAAAAATAAATCGCTTGACATTATAACCCTTTTCACCCCGACCAATAAACAAATTAATTAGCATTTTTTATTCCAAGCTATATTTAAGCTTTTACTCGCGAGGTTATGAAAAAATACGCGCCACGATCGAAACGAAGCGCGATTTCCACGACGTTCCGTTTGTTTCCATCCGTCGAGATTAACAGGAAAGCACGCAGCGCCCGCTCGCATATCCTATCCAGAATCGCCCGTTTCGCTTCTCCTTGACGGAATCGAAATTGCGCGCGAAAGAAAAGTTCCATTTCAACTTGCGTTAAGGCAGTCCGAAAGTTTCGTGAGGAAACATTGTCGGCGCGAAGGGGGCGCGATTCGCGCGAAATGATAGCACTCAACTTTTCACCGAAGGCACGGCCCTAATCCGCTCAACATAGCCGTGTGCACGTTCATGTGAGTGATATGTATATATGTGTGCGCGCGCGCAAGGAAGAGATCCTGGCGGTAGGAAGTCGGAAGTCGAGCTGGACGTCGTGTCCTTACAGGAAATGTCGTCTTGCTCCACTGTCCGGTTCCCCAACCGGAATCGGGCCTTGAATGTTAGCCCTTCCTGCGCGAATTTATCATCCAGGATCGTCTGAAGACCCGGGAGGATATCCCGTCGTTTCTACCCCTACTCGCGATAATACGAATCGCCGTGTATAGCCTCGGGCGAATGGGATTAGATCAGTTTGCACGACCCGGTTTTTCACGTGAATCGTGGAAAATCGGGGAATTGCTATCGACGATGTGATTTACTCGAGAAGATAGAGAGTACCGAAGTTCCAGCGCGAACCGCAAACGGATACGACGAAAAAGGTAGAGGGGGAGATACGATATGCGCGTACAAATATTTATTGCCGAAACTAGCATAACGGAAAGTTCCTCGTATATCCTCGCGTACCTTTGTGTTTCACATTGTAGATCCGTATCGTCATCGTACATTTAATGTCGAACGTAGTAATTCGAAATATAACAGATACGTTATATTCGTACATTTACACAATAAAAAAATCATGTGTTAAAATTAACACATTTCACGTGTTCTAAACAGTCCATCCAAATTTGTGTGTTATGATTTAATGCAAGGTGAATATGTTAGGAAATAACGCAAATAGTATATTAAAAATTAACACAGAAATGTAACACTTATTTGGCACTATTTGTAAACAAATTTTCATGTAGAAATAATATTTACAGTACTAAATGTAACAGAAAGAAGGACATGTTATTTTTACATTTTTCTCGGATATGCTACGTGTATGTGATACTAATATTTTGCGTTCCACGTAGCAGCTCTAATGCTAAATTAAGACACGTAACCGTTGTCTGTAAGAAGCATAATTCTCATTATTTTATAAAATAATGCCGGTTTTTCCTTACTCGTGGTAATTTCACTTCATAACCTTACCTTACACTTCACATATGCAGCAAAATCTGACGCAGTAATTTCGTTAGATGTCGCTTGCCATTTCTATGTATGTAATATTTAACACATAAAACATGTTGATTTAGTAAATGACAACTGTTTTTATCGAGGAAAAATAACTCTAAAATTACAAAAATCTTTATGTTAAACATATACTTACATATAAATTATGTTATTTCAACATAAAAGTATGTGTTAAATATCAATTGGAAATCTTCAAATAACACAATCATATTATGTTGCCTTAACACACGGTTATATGTTGAGAATTCAACTACGCTAATTAAAAAGGAACAGATTTTAACACAAGAACAAAATGTTTTTACTGTGTACGATTCCTAATTAATCTACAACAGTCATTATATATAATTAAACGAGTTAAACAGAAATTATATAATAAAGATATTAAAGAACTCGTATTTTCACTATCGTTATCACCGCGCGAAATCAGCGTCTTATATATAAAAAAAGGGGGGGGGGAGGGAAGGAGAAACGTAACTTTTCAAGGGTAGCGCGATGGCACTGATGTAAGAAAAACATTGAAATGCTTGAATAACGCGACGTCAATCGATGGAGTGGAAGTCGGAAATCCGCGGATAAACTCTACCGCGAGCAGCTTCGAACTCCTTTATGCGAGCCAACCCCGGATTCGTCTTTTCCTCGATCGATTCCGGCAAAGGCCCTCCGAGGACACTCTGCAAATCCTTCAGGAGCGAGGGCGGTTTCCAAGGAGTGCAGGGATCCATCATGACGACCTTCTTTCCTTTCCGCGCCGCAAAGATCCTCGCCGTTGTGCTCGTCGGCGTGACCTCCTTGGCAGGGTACCCCTCCTCGTCCTTTTGCAAGTCCCTCGGAGCCTCTCGAGATTCTTCCTCAGCCGTAACGCTGTATGGAATATCGTGGCTAAATTATTATCGATGGTCGCGAAAACCGGACGAAATGCAGACGGAATTCGGAGTCTCGAAATTACGAATTCACAAAATGAGATGTGATGGGAAAATCGCGCGGTACCGTGAGATAAAAAATTCTCCGAACCCAGTGAAGAGTTTCCTCATAGTTCAAGAACACGCAGAACGAATGATCGATACGGGCTTTATTGCCGTCCTTTATTGATACAATCACGGTGAACCCGACATTCGTAATTGTCGATTAATTTGGAATAAAATTTGGAATAATTTGAAGTAAAGGAGTCACATTTAGGGGAACATAAGTAGATGTAAAAAAACTTTGTACCGCAGCTCAACGAAAAAGGAAACTTGCGCAAATAAGATTTACAGATTCCGGCAAAAATTTGTGTGAACACTATATGCGAACTAACGTCGTTTTCAGAGCTCTCTTGGCGAGCTTCCTCGCTCTCGTTCTTGCTTCGTCGCTTCGTTCGGCTTTCCGGATCTCCCTTTTAGCTTCCCTCGCGGCCTCTCGTAGTTCCTTGGGCGGCTCCGTCATTTCCCAGAAAGAACGAATTGTTTCCCTGGACGATACTGCGCGTTTATAATCTCGCACGAGCTTCGTCCAAGATTCCCGTCTCCTCTGTCTCGTCTTGCCCTTGCTTTCGACCGACGTCCTCGCTCCAACATCATCCTCCTCCGACCTCTTTGCCCCGTCACGAATCCATTTCGGGCGGTCTCTGACCGCACGATCTGCGAATCTAACCACGGTCAGCGATTTAATAAGGTTTTCTCGCGAATTTTAAAATCCCGGAGAAGAGTCGGTAGCCGGATCGTGCTTTAAGTTGAGCGTCGTCCGAATTCTGGCGACGTCAGGGAATCTCGAAAGTTACTGAAGCTTTGCCGATCTTAACGATATCGAATCTCTCAAGCGTCCGATGCGTCAATTTTAGATGCATCAAAGAAGGTTTGAAAAGAATCACTGTATTTTTGGCATTTTACGGCGAGTGTCTGCCGGCGGAATGTATAATTTTCCTCGGAAGATTTTTGTTAATTAATGTTTCTGCGGACGAGACGACTCTTCTAAAGAGATTTATTCATTATATAACACTAATCCATGCGCGCCGTACCTGATGCTTAATTTTCCGCGGCAGCAAATGTCAGGTTTGCAGACACTAACTTTGCACGGCCTCGGCAACCTGAAAGCGACGGGCAGTCGCTTCCTGCGTTTCCTCTTGCTAATTTCCTCCGTTGGAGATTCCACGATCGTTTCCGCCGACGGAGGCAAGGGTTCCTCTACCATTGGCTCCTCTTGTTCAACACGCTCCTCTACTTCCGTCGTAGGAGTCGAGATCTTGATCTTCTTCGGGGTGGCGATTTTCTTGGCGGGCGTCTCCCTCGTGACATCTTCCGCTCCATCCATCGTCGTGATGAAATCCTTGTCGACCTTCCGGCCGATTTTCCTTACGGATAGAACGGTCTTCAAAGTTGTTGAAATACGCTCGTCCTCATCGTATTTCAATTTCTCCTATTAACCGTGCGAAACACAATGTTCAATTGAAAATGTGAAAGGGGGCGGATGTAAAATGTATTTAAAAAATTCCAATTCTATGCGAAATTATTAAATTGTATGTTTCCGAGGGAAAGAGTTTTATCGAGAATAATTAGCATTTAGTGATATCGCGCGAAAAATCATGGCGAAAAGTAAAGGTTGTAGGCGAAAGAATGATGAAATATTATGAAAGTTCGCTAATGTGTAGCGGCTAGCCAACCGTGAGAGATACATTAGAAATTTTACGAAACAGCAAGAATAAAATGTGCAATAAGAGAGGATAATAAAATCAAACGCTCGTTTGAACGAGATACACATTTTTGCGCGATATGTTTGTATTATTTTTAAAGTTTTGGAAAAAACTGTTTTTCCCATTTTCCCACAGATTTATTCAGTTTTTGTCCGAAGGGTATAAAAATTCGTTTAAAAAATTTCACTGTGTATTCGGTTAAAATCTGCATTTACTTTCTTCCGTAAAAAAAAATAAGAAACTAAAATAAATCAGCGGAAAATTAGGAAAAAAGATGATTTCTTCCGAAACTTTAAAACTATAGTTTGTGCTGAGATCAGTAAAAAGTATTCTTGTATGAGCCCTATATTCATCAATTCTCAATTCAATTATTATTAATAATAAATGCAACTTTCGTTCATGAAGAGAGAATTTTTATTCGAAGGACATGACCAGGATTCTCGGAAAAACTCTTGATATTACCTTCTCCACAATCTCAAAAAATTTCTCCTCGACCACCCGAAGATCGTCGAACTCGTTTTTGAGCCTTCTTTTGTTCTTCTTCACGATTCTGTTCTTCTTACGATGATTCTTCAACTTATCCTGCATATCGTGTATCTTTAGTTTACCGCGATCGTAATCCTTTGTTATCGATCTGTCCTTCTTTTTGCCTCTCGAAATTTCCCACGTCGTCTTTGATTCATTCTCCGTGGCGTACATCCTCATCAATTTTATTTCCTTCAATCGCGTGTCTATCGCCTTTACGAAACGAGAACACCTCTCCAGGTACTGGATGTCAGTATCGAAAAAGCGCAACAGAACACCGTGCTTATTTTGTGTCTCGCTTTAAATAAAATAAAAGAGCTCTCTTCGCGGAATTTAAATGATATAATATATGATATAATCATTACACTTTGTCGAGAATTTCATCATAACGCGACGCACTTCGAATTAACTATAAAACACAATTAATTCTACTGTATTTTTGCGAAGCAAAGAATATTGTCGTCATCGGGGTACGTTATTCCCTGATATATCAAATTTTCCAACGCCGGGTCGTCGTGCGCCGCTTGTAAATTTCTCGCAAATTAATTTTGCGTCGTAAATTCATCGCGGGAGGGAAGAAGCGCTTACCGAGGAGAAGTCGTTCTTGTCATTTTTATCGAACGAGTACAGCGCTTCCGTTGACTCGAGCAGGAAAACGTTGCCGGCGGAATTGCCAACGGCCAGAAGTTCGCCTTTCTCGTGCGCCGCGATCGCAGTTAGTTTTTCCTTGCATATCTGCACCGAGAGGATCGGGTCGTTCAGGCCCGCCAGAACGTCCCACACGGTCAATACGCCGGTATGCGTGGTGACGTAAAAGATCGAGTGTCTCGCTCTGTTCCAGCAGCTGCGAACCGGACCCTCCTTTATATATCTGCGAATCAATCACCGCTTGAATCATCTCAATCTCCAGTTCATTCATTGACTAAACACACCGGACTCATTAATTATCGCTCGCCATATTATTGTGTTGATTAACGCAATTGTAATATATTTGTTGATTTTACTTATCCATACTGTTAACTGTACCGCATGAGAATCAATATTGCCTTTTGGGGGAATATGGAATATGGAAAATTAATTGATGTATGTTTATGGCTATTTCAGTGCCGAGCGTTAATTGATAATCCATCTTCTAAATTTACCGATTATCGGCGTCCATTTGTATCACGGCGTGCGCGCGGCTTGTATTTCGAAGCCGGTTTAAACAAGTCACGAAGGTAAATAATGAAACGTCATTAACGTACTCGATTTTAGCTGAATGCAGTAATTTCCGAGGCAGCATGCTTCGTCTAAACAGTTGCGCGGTATTGGTTTGTTCGCTGGAAATACTGATTTGCGTGTATCGCGTTTATGAAATTCGGACTCTGTAATTATCTAGCTCTCTTTCTCTCTCCCTCCCTCGGTTATTTTCAAACGAAAACAAAGTACCTCGTCGACACGAGATTGCCGTCTTTAGTGTCCTCCGCCCAAATGCGGGCGGTGCCGTTGCCGCTGGTCAGGAAGATCTTTGGGTTGAAACGGTTGCGATCGACGGACAGAACCGGACCGTGATGCGCGTTGAAGGTCCAGGCCAGTTTTTCGGCCGGTGCCCGCGCCTTTCTCGAGCCGCTGATCACGATGCCGTTTTCCAGACCGAACATGAACTTGGCGCTCACGCTGGATTCAAAGTTGGCCGACGAGACGCCGATCGCACGGTCCATCTGCGGCTCGTTCGGTGTCTGCAGATCGAACACGAGGATCTCAGTCGGCTCTCGCAGTTTTCTCGTGTCCCACCACATGGCTCGGCCGTCTACAGAGCCGGAGAAGAACTCCGTATTGTTCTTCGTGGTGATCCAGTTCACCGTCGTCGTGGTGTCTCTTTGAGAATACCAATCTGTAGCCGTAACATACGCGGCATCTCGCGAGTGGCGCGCGTCGTATAAATTCTATCCGATCGTTCGAATGAATCTAGGTTGATATTTCTTTTTTTCTACGGGTTACCCTATGCATATTCGGAGTACAAAATGGAAATGCGCGAATCACGCATCTGCACGGTCGAATTGAATCTCTTTAATTCGCGATTGAATTCGAATCGAAATTTCACGACATTTATATTACGTGCTAATTTGAATACGATAATGATATTAAAAAAGATATTTTTGGAAATAGACGAAAATATTAATCGGTGCATAGTTTTGAGAAAATCTCTCATTAATTGTACGAAAAATGCTGCGCTAAGTGCCAGAAAATCTATAATAGATATCAGACAGGAATCTAGAGCTTATGAGCCGATAGATGCATATGTATATAATTATATTTTATAAGCTTGTACATATGTACACGGTATGTCTGAAAAATTATGGAGTTAATTTTTATTGCTTTGTACAATCCATATATTAATGACATATTCAAATATGGCTTGCCATATAAAGTATCTGTATTTTATGATCAGAACCATACCACATTATTTAGCAAAAGAACACTCTTGCACTCATAATTTTGTCGTCGATAAAACAAAAACTTTGGATTACTAATTTTTAATTTCAATGATTCATTTGTTCTTCATTATCCGATATAAATTGAAACAAACGAAAGACCGATTCGAAGATGAACTCGAATCGAACCAATAGTGCGTTTCGATGCGAGTTCGAACGATTCGCACATCTCTAGTACGAAGCGAGCATTCTCCGCGTGATCTCCACTATCGTCGCAATTTTTGCAGATAGGACGAAGTAGGACGGCCGATTAGCTCGCCCCGGCGAGTGACGTCGACGTTAGAGGAGAGAAAGGTCGCGCGCGAATCGACGGGAAAGTCTCGCGCGCGCGGAACGAAATGAGACTCAATCGAGAGCGGAAACGCGACGGGGACGGTGCTTTACTCATTCATTGTCACGCCGCAAGCGAAGCGTTTTCGGCCGACCGGGAACAGGGATACAACGCGCGCCGCTACTGAATTATGAAATCTAAAGTTCCGCCGCCTTGGTCGGGAGGCATGTTCGTGTCGAGATTACCTATGACTGAATTGACGATGAGACGTCTGAACCGGAGTGCTGCCAGTCCTGACGTCCCAGCTGCAAACTTGGCCTGACATCAGGCCGCTGGCGAGCACAGACGGATCCCGAGGATTAAATTCGCTGACCAACGTGGCGGACGTGGCCTTCAGTGTCATCCAGGGCTCGTTAGGGTTGTCTGCCGCGTGTTATTTTTTGCGGGGGAAGGTTTTCGTTTTTCCCCGAACGGCCACGATAGTCCCGCAATGGTCGTGACAACATGAGCGTGAAAGCGAATAGAAGCGTCATGTGTGTGTGCGTGTGTGTATTATTTTCGTATATTTAGAAAATTACATCCGCGAAATCCTATTTCGAGCCATCAGAGGCGCGCCGTCGAAATGCAGGCGCGTATATATATATTGAAAAAAAAATAATAGTTGAATTAACGAAATTTTGTTTGAACGAACAAAATTTTCCCAAGCGCAACGTTTAATCCATTGAACAGATTATGAAATTCCTGTAATATGTTATCAGTTGATTTAACGATTGTGATTTGGTTAGCAATTATATCAACGCAGCGTATCGTTACGCCAGCGCGTAATTTGTTCAGTGGACGTAACATTTCTTTGAACGAGGGTGACTGCCGATTTTGTAGATCCAACTGCTTCTTTCTCAGTGTAAGAGCTCGGTGCGTTTATATTCCATTTTTGACACGCTAAATATGGAATGTATCGTTAGCTTCGGTGTCCAGTTTGTTGGCCGGCGCATCGTCCAGTTAGCGTTTCGTTCGTTATGAGACTCTAAGGCTTATATTAATAAATTGTCACTTGAAACTTGTCTCATATCAAATAACAAATAATAAATAAGATTTTAATCTAGTGTTAGATTTGAGTTTTTCAGTTGAATCATACGATATGTTTGACAGTGTATCTGTAAACGCTATTCAACTGAAAGACTCACTTCTAACTCTGAATTTAAATCCCACATAAGGCAAGTTTCACGCAACAACTATTGATACGAGCCTAGAATGGCCGTGAATCAGCGGCGCGAAGCGAGTCGAAATTTGGCCTCTACACGCATCCCACAAATTTTATATTCGCACATGTCACTTGCTGAAATTAAACTTCGCGCGGGATTTTCTTGTTTTAATTTTCGGTATCTAACGCCGAGACCAGAAACATCCAGCTACTACACGCCGGTTAAATCTGACAGTATAATTTGATCGTGATATTCAATCATCCACATCGTATTTTAATTTGTATTTTTACAGCGACTGTTTTGAAAGACCGAATATCGTTTCGGTATATTCGCGCGTTATAAAATCAGCGACGCGTCAGCGGCGATTTTCGAAAATCATTGTCTTGCAAGCGACCAGGGATAACCGCCGAATTAATGCTTCATACATCGGAAAAACCGCGAGGATTTTTTTCGAGACGCGGCGGTTATTTACCGAGGAGAATCGTTGTAGCTAAAAACGTTAATGCACGCCCACGGCCGAAGCTTATTGCAGACGTTGCGCGACCATATTGCTAAGCGATCAAGTGCAACATCTAAATGTAGTCAGAGCTTTTGTACTAGCTTTATCTACACTCACCAATCTGCCAGATGTACACAATGTTGCTGTAATTTGGCTGGGTTCCAGACCTCGAGAAGTACGAGACCACTATTTTACTACCGGAGTCTGGCGACCAAGAAATGTCACTTACCGATCCCGCCGGTCTCTGAGGGTACTTGTAGACGTTCAACGTGCTGAAACAAAATTCTCGGCTCTACATCTAGCTTTCATAATAAAAAACGGGGCGGAGGTATAGTAAGCGCGTTCGTGTTTTTTAAAGTAGTAGTAATATGAAGTGAGTTTTTTTTTTAATTCGATGAAACTTGCACATAGATTTAAGTATGACTTATTTATTGGCGCAATTAGAAAACGATTGACCATTTAAAAACTGAGATATTCGTAACCCAAGCAGAATAAAGTCATATAAAAGTAAATATGACGTCAAAATGACTTCGTTTTAACATCATTTTGACGCGGAATACGCGCGCGGGGAAAGTATAAAATTGTAATATCATCAGAAATAATCTCCACAGGTTGCAATGATAATCTTTCCGACGAATCCTGTTAATATCAAATATAGCACGCTCTAAATTTGTAATCGTGTTAAATCCCAGTTTATATACAATAGAAATAGCTCTGTATTATTTTCACCTCTGTTTTCTTGGATACTATTGCAGACCAAACTTCCAACTTTGACATTAATTTTAATCATGTTTATTGTTTCGCTTCGCGTAGCCGGGATTCGTTTTTATCGTTGGAAATGAAAATATTAGCCGTTGCCGCCGATCGGCGCGGTTTCGCGCGAGCCGCTAAATAGTTCGCCCGCGGCTCTCGTGCTGACACGCAGAAAATCGTTAGTTCAAACGGAGGAAAGCAAATTTAGCGGCAGGATGCATAATTCACGTCCCCCACGATGCCGGAATCCCGACATATGTTCGGATATACCTTCAGGCTCGGACCGGGTTTAAATTTTAAATCTTTTGATGGTCGGACGGTCGGTAGTCGTTCTTTCTCTCCGCGAATATATACATTTTAAAATTGTCCATCTGGGATCACGCGAAATCCTATGCACGCGCGCACTATCGATGTCGTATGATAATAGAAACGATTCTTTTCCCTTTAACTGTGGGACGATTGAATTTTCCACGTTCATTGCTCAACCACGATCTCTTGCCAAGTCGCGTTCGGCTATATAAATATCGCGGACTCTCTCATTATTCTGCGCTCTCTTCCGCGTTATTACTTTTTATCCACATCCGAGACGTTCCCCGAGTCGAAATTTTGGCCCTGTGTTAAATTTGTATTCTACAACACAATAGGAGCTAAGATAGCAAAATAAATTCACATAATTTCAATTCTAATAATATAACTTCTATTTTTGCCCTGATGATGTCTTAAACTTCCATCTTTGCTGTTTTAGCATCAAAATAAAGATTGTTGAAGGTAGTATTGAAATTAAATTTGTATAATTCAAGGTTCAAGGCAGAAGTAAAAAAATGTTAGTATCGTCAGTATATCGAAGTAGGTTTTTATTAGTTTATAGGCCGTTTAAGTAGGCGCAAATTATTCTTAGGAGTGTCAGAGTAACATTAAAATTTCGGCTCGGACAGGCTACGTCTACGAAACTCACTCACGACGGGCCACGTCGCGATATAGCGCACGGATGAAAGCGGAATGAAGTTTTTACCGCAGATTTCGAGGCTTCACCAGTTCCGTAGGTACCATATCGTCGAAATACTGCTCGTATATGTTGAGCGCGCCGTTCTGGAGAACGCTGCGTTCCATTTGCTGCGAGAAGAAAAAGCGATGTAATCTTCGCGACTTTTCGTAAGCACGCGGCCGCTGTATCGCAAAATGGATATAATGGGTCGGGATTATTCTCGCAGCATTCCGATCGAGCCATCCCGCCGAGGTATCTCACCGTACACCATATTAGATTTGGCGCAGCGGTAGAATTCACGACGACACACTATGGCGATATACTTGGAGTAAGTTACGTAATTTCGGCGCCCACTCGTCGTCCTTCTCGGCCCTCCTGCGAAATCTCGCTGTGGTTTCCTCGTCCTTCGGATTGATCTCCCTCGGCCAACCACCCTCGAAGTGAAACATTCCGCTGCTCTTCGTCTGGCCGCTGGCAGTCTGGGCCTAGAATTTCGGGGGAACGATTGCCGGGACGTTAACGTGGTATTCCAAGGGAACGATCGTTACGCCGCCGTCCGGACAGCTCTATTTCCGGCCTGTGCGCGCCTTCGACTGATACGTCGTAAAATAACGTAATATTGAAGGAAGTCACGCGAATTTGTCGAGCGCAATCGTTTTTATCGCAATTATATTTTTATTGAACTTCGGCGAATTTGTTTTGGAGATACGGCGGAAACAAAAATTGATAAAAATTGATAAAAACGAAAATGAAAAATTTTTTTTCGCGCAAAGAGAGAGAGAGAGAGAGAGAGAGAGAGAGAGAGAGAGAGAGAAAGGGATAGACATTCGAGTGTATTGTTCCCTGAAAGAAAAAAAAAAATGATCGGACGTACGGGAAATATGAAACTCAAAAAGGAAACGTGTAATTTCCGCGATCGAACAAACCGAGCCCGGCGATTCGCTTCGTGTCGAACGGAAAACATACTTAGAACGATCTAGGTTTACAGAGATTTCTCTATTTACAGCTGTTTCCGTTATTATACAATTATTGCATGACTCAGGGATGTGTATCGTGCTGTTGGGAAAATTTATTTTGTGCATATGGCCGAGTTTTGCCATGTCATACGGATGCTGCGTTGAAATTATGAAATATGAAATATGAGATGTGAAATTGTTGTTGTTCTTCGAGCGATGTCGGGCATTCGCTTCCCGCTCTCTTTCTTCCTCTCTTTCTCTTCGGCCTGTTGCCTCGTTATAAAATGATGTAGAAGGTAGGGAGAAAGAGAGGAAAGAGAGCGAGAAGGAAAACCGGCTAGTCGCGTGAAATTCATGTAAAGCATCGTCTTTTGGCGTTGTAGTATCGTAGAAAGTTGCGCGCTCACGGAGCGTCAGGTAGCGAGCTTTTCGTAAGACGGATGTTGCGCCGCCAGGCGCGTCAGCGTGACGCCAATTTTACCGCGAGTTGAGTCTAGCTCCGTTAAAGTAAAATACAGTCGATTTTTGAATATATTAGCGGAGTTTCCGAACTGGCTGCGGCGAGACGTAGTTTGTTCGCCCTCTTACAACGAACTCGACGCTGTAACGTTAGAGCCTCGTTGTTGCCGGCGCGACTTTAAATACGTAATCTTGCAAACCGAATGAAAAATCCCCCATTCTGAAAGGCAAATCGTTTTTTTGCGCGCAACTCGGTGCGCTGATTTCACCTTGTTTTATATTCGCGCAGCTTCCTATTTAATTTGAAATACGCTATATTTAATTCATAAATAAATAAAATTAATAAATCAATAAAATAAATAAATGAATATAAAAAAAGATGCACATACGTGTGTATATTAATTTTTCTAGTATTATTAAAGTTTTACAGAAAATGAATTGTCAAAAGTTAAGAAATTTCATTCAAATTGCGTGTCTATGGAGTTTTAAAGTCATAACCGTTTACGAATATGAAATCAAAATTTAAAAAATTTTAAATGCTGGACTCAATATGGCGACTGAAATTATAATTTTATTTTAACTTCGCGAAACATTTCAAAATTGTTATAAAAAATTTGTATATGCTTTTTAATTTTAGGTCGGCTATATTACATCCACGATCTAGAATATTAAATTTTGAAATTCATCATTAAACAGAGCGACCCCGAAGACCTTTAAATATCGAACTTTGGAAATATTGAACTAGCAGGAATATCAAAACGCAGTATTGCGTTTCTGCGAATCAAGGGATTAATAAACGACAGAAATCAGTGCCCAATAGAGATTGTAAATAAATTATTACAAATATTTAATAATTATACATAGTGATAGTAATTATTTTCTATTAATAATATGCGGTCCGTATCACGTATGTCGCCGTCACGCTTCTAACCTCGTGCAACGCGAACTGTTTGGTGTGCAGCACACCGACGTTGCAGTAAGTCCGCGTAACGTAATCCGCCATAGCGGCAGGATTCGGCCTGATCTCCTCGTCCAAGTACGGTCCACACGCATCGAAGATGCACTGCTTGCCAAACTCGGCGCGCGTTTTCAGGAAAACCTGCTTGATCTCCATTATATCGCGCTCACGCCGCACTCAACTTTCGGACGGAACCGCACAGTTACAATTCGCACGCGCGAACCTCGCCTGCGGAGGATAAATCAGCGTTCGAGACGCGATGAATTTACGGGCCGGAGTTCCCGAAAGCGCCGCACACGTGTTACCACGTGTGGGAGGTTCGCGCACGATCGCCTCTTCTTTCGCTCGCGACACAATCGATATTTATCGTTTTCCTCTCTTCAGCGAGTGCGATTTTATATACCGTGCCCGGGGGAGGACTTGGCGAAAGCTACGAGATTATACGATTTTTATCTATATTGAATTTATATGCGAGCAAAAAAACATCGTCCTCGAATAAAACAGGAATGATTTAAGGACGGAGATATCGGAATTCCTATAGCGTCATCCATTTTGCTCAGGTTGCGGAACTTGTCTAATTCGATTTGTACGAATCGCCCATTTCGATCAAGCTGATTGGACGGACGAGCCGCAAGTTGATCGACGCAGACCGCGGTCGAGAGATTTCTGCTTCTTTTATTAATAATTGGTTCGTCGGGAACCGCTGATGTAATCATTCTATCTTAACGACTCGACCGTTTCGTACTCTAACCTTGTCGTGTGTCCGGCACATCATGCTTGTCACGTTTTTCACGCGAAAGACCGGCCGGCCGCGTGTGATCGGAAAATTCAATGTTTGAGCTGCGTGAGGAAACGATCCGGTTCCGGGAATGAACTTGCGCCGCACCTATTCGAGCTTATTTCTATTTTAATTCTAACGAGACCTTTTCATCCGATCAAACTTTTACGCAAAATTTCTTAGAAGTTATCTTCTACGAACACAAACTCTCCATTTTATTCAGTTTTTACGTTTCTCCTAGAAAATTCGAAAAAAATCGACTTTTGCCTTTTTTACACAATATGTTTGCAAAATGTGAAAGTGTCACGGGAAAAAACCGTCGATTCGCTAAATTGAACGTTGATCAGCTACTTAAGAACATATTTCGAACTTGGGATGGAAAGTTATTCAAAATCTTTGGTCGCGCACGACGCAACGTACGAAAAGCGCAAAGTAATCTTTTCATTGGCCGACGAGAATATCGCGATGAATTATAACGAGTAACGAGCGTTCCATATAATTTCGTCACGTCGGTGCTGCGAAATGTCTACACAGTAAAAAAAACATTTCGTCCTTGTATTAAAATCGGTCCTTGTTAGAATGTTTGTATGCATTTTTTAACACACCTGTGTGTCAATTTAACATATTGTGTTTTTGTTATCTTAACACTTTGTGTTGCGTCGATACTCAACATGTGTGAGTGTTCAAATAACATAATTTTATACTTCAGTGTCGATCAACGTATTAATTAACGTGTTAATTTCTTACGTAATGTTTGTGTTACTTCTCGACATACTCACCTTGCATCAAATTAACACAAAAATCTGAGTAGATCGTTCGGGACGTGTGAAATGTGCTGGATTTAACATTGAATTGCTTACTGTGTATCACGAGGCGATGTAAAATTAATGGGAGATATGAAATTTCACTGTAAATTGTAAACGACACAATGAGAAACGATATAACGATCGAGAGATCGGGACGCGCGATTCCGTTCTTCTCTCCGGTCGTTCGGAGGGCAGCGAATGAATTCTCTGAGGTCGATCGATTCCAATGTTGGCTGCGTAGCATCTCATTAAAAGTCATAGTCCGACTATCGCGCGGTGAGGTTGCTTAGCATTTGAAAGGGTCTGTTGTTTTCCCCGCCTTGGCGTTCCGCTCTCCGCGCGGCCGGCTTTTTCTCCCCGCACCGTTGTAATCTCCAATCTCTCGACTCCGAGAGCCCGATGAACCACGGGTGCGCCCTCATCAGCTAATGACAGCGGCATCGGTCTGTTAGCTATCGCCGACCACGTTCGACCAACAATCGTCAGCGCAGGAACGCGAAGGTGCATTCGTATTTCCGGTCTCATGCAGCGCGTCGCTGACATCGATGCGCGCGCTACGAGCCAACGCGAGCGCGCGCTCGCCGACGGCCGATTGCTTAAAAATTGTATACTTTCCGGTAAATAGTGAAGCGGCAGCGAGATTGCCCGCGCGGCCTACAAAATGTAACGCGGACGCGTTTCAAAAATTTTACGCCGCAGTATTTATTTTCTCCGGCGGCTGTACTTATCAAAGGTCTCCCGAAGAAAGGTCAAAGGACAATCGTCGTGCAGAGAAGAAGCTGAATCGTAAGTCTCGCGAAGTTGCAGAAGAAATTTATACGTCGCGACACCGTACGTTTTCATGCGCAGCGTCGCTCCGAAAAGCTGGCGTTTCGCGATAATTTCGCAAATCGAACATATTTTCAAGAAAAATTATCTCAACGCACCGGGGAGCGCAGCGCGGCGAGCGTTTCAATTTCAACGCGAGCAAACGACTCGATGCAGTCTCGCTACGTTCCTCGAGTGTCTATCGATTTGCTAATCCGCGCTACACCTGTAGTTTTCCAGTCGGATTTGCCGAGCAAATAAAGAGCCCAAACGGGACCCGGCTAACCGATCGCGCAACTGGGCCAGTTGCGGAAGTCTTTGCTTTCGCTGCTGCTTTTAATCTCTCAAAGCCTGTGCGCGTAATGAGACCATAAACTTAGTTTATCGTCAGCAGCCATTTTCTTCTCAACCGGAGGCAAAAATTCAGATCGTCGGCGAATCGGTTGAAAATATGCGTTGCTCGGCATACAAGGAGTTGAAAAGCTTTTTTGCCCTCCCCCCTCTCTAGTCTTAGCATTATTGGCTCGTAAAACTGTTATTTTTGTATCTCGGCTGTGCAGCTTAGTTTTCTGCTTATATATAATCATGCTTGAATGTTTATTTCATAGTAAAGCAATGTAACTTCACTACTCTTATCGTGACATTCGATTGTTACTAACATTTTATGTAATTGTACCCATTACTTTTTAATTGATACTATTCTTTCTACTGTATCAAGCAGTCCATCGTGCTAAACTCTACATGGAAAACTGTATGCCCAAGGGGATATTTCCAGAGTCAAAATATAACCTACTCTATTCTCTCTCCCCCTTTTTTTCTTATAAAATATAATTTCAACGACCGGAACAATATTTTTTGTCAGGGATCGCGAATCGAAATTTCACCAAGTTACTTATCGGCTTCTCCCGGCATATCTGCAATGTACCATCGTGATCAGCGTTTTCTCGCCGGGAGTGCTACTTTGGGAGAGTTCGCGGGTCGAACTGCTCCGTGCGAACCCTTTCAACTCGGGCCACGCGGATTTTCCATACGGAGGCAAGTTTTCCCCCCCCCCCTAATACACGAGTGGGGAAAGTATAGAGAACGCGCGGCTCATGACTCTTCCATGAGCGCGGCACGCCATCCATTTGCTCCGGCTCCGCTCAACTTTCCATCCTTAACTCTTCACTCCGAACTTTCCTCCCTTGTCTCACGGCGGAGTCTGGCGGCACCGAATCCCGCGATTCGCCAATTTCGCGAGGGAATGCATATTCGAGATTTCGAGCTCGTCCTTCATAGGCGCGTACGAACCGGCTCACTCCGCGTCTCTCTTCCCGATACCGGCATTGATTAATTGATCTCTCAGCCGGCGAGCATTTCTTCCACGGACGTTTCTTGGAACGCTCGTCTCGGCGAGGTACTTCCGCGTCTCATCTCGATCCACGCTTCTCTCGGCTCCTTCAACGCAACCTTGTTCGCTCTTAATGTTACATAATGAAATGTTAATTCGTTGCATTCGACGTACTTCTTGATCACGAAATTCCTCCCCCCTCCTTCTTCCTTCTCTCTCTCTCTCTCTCTCTCTCTCTCTTTCTTTCTCTCTGCCTAATGTAATACGTTTAGCAAATTATTGCAATCCCGCGTGCCATCTAAGCCAACCCACCCAATACAAACTAATTAAACTCGCAAAATGTTTAATATTCAAGTTAGAAGGCTTCCCGCATAGAAAATTCCTGGAACTCCCTACTTTCCGAGCGGGATGCCTTACCTATTCGATTATCAAGGCCTCCATAATCGGTGTTTATATAAACTTCATACGGATGTTGTGCGAGCAAGATGTAAGCATATCCGTCCATACTATAAACTAAATTAAGCGAGGACAGATGCTATTCTATACGTAGATTTTCAAGTGTAATTGTTTCAAGTGTACATAAAAAATCAGACAGTGCACGTCTTTCGACTTGCGCGGGCAATCGATAAAGGCTTATTAATTCATTCAAGAAACTCGCTTCCAAAGGAACGGATCGCGAAACAGTTTGATCTTTTTTCTTCTTCTTCTGCTGCTTCTTTCGCTGTTCGTTCAAAGTCTTTTACTCTCGTGTATCTCGAAGTGAAAATGCGACCCTTGTAGAAACGCGGCCCCGCGCACCGATGGCGATTTCCATAATTTAATTTATATTGGCTTAATCCGCCGGCATTTCAGATGCACCGCAAACTTTGCAGGACGCCTCTCGCGGATTAAGCGGAGTGCGGGCGCGTCTGCCTGAATTTTTAAACTCCGTCCCTCCGGGGTTCCCGAGCGGAACTTTTTTTCGCGAGAGCGCGTCGCTCTTATTTCCAATTCCGTGGGATTCTCATCTCGAAGTCCGAGACGGGGTGGGGAGACGCGCGAGGATGTGCCCGAGGCTGCGATCCCTATTCCGCACAGCTGTGCTTTCATCCCGGCGCTTTCGTCGCGGTGATCGATTAATCGGGCGAGAACTTTAATGGCAGAGCTCCCCTTTGATCCTAGCGGTAATTTCGGCAATTTACCGTCTTAAGTTTCGATCCTCCTTTTGCTGCCGGGCTTGCTCCTGCCTCTCGGTCTATCGGAATGCCCGAGGAGAATTTCAACGCGGAGCCGGCGATAATATTCCCCGTTTCCATCCTCGGGACGGAGCCATTACTGCGACGTTCTCTCCCTCCCTCTTCTCCCCCGCGTTTTTAAAACTTCCACCGGGCGTACTTACACCGGCCCTCGCGATTTCCCTAACGCCCGTATATACGCGAGCGATCTGTCTCACTCGACAATATCCAGTCTATTTGATTCGCTCCTTCTCTGAAGGCGAAGCGCCGCGTCGAAAGTCTTGCGAATCCATTGAAACGGCGGAGTGCCCGTTGCCAACTTCTGCTTCAGTTGAACTTCCTTCGAAGAGATCATTCCTCCGTTTTTCCACGGCGCCTGTCGACAGAACGGCCGAGCTCTCGCGATTTCTCTTCCTCAAAATCTCGAGGCATCCTGAGAAGCACTCGGCTTATCGGCTCGAGTAGAGAGATATTGAATGCAAGCTTCCCGCATTTTTGCGACACGACGCTCGTCGACCACGCCGACGCGTCCGTTGCGACTCAGCGATTGATTCGTTATCGTGCAATTCTCGCGTTGAAGCCTCATTACGCTCTTTTGAAATCACTCTGTCGACTCGACTGATTAATTTCTTTCCCTCACGCGAATGCACAACGCACGTCCAAGACGTTCCCTCTGCGATTTTTCAAACGACGATCCTGGATCGCGATTACGTCTTGCTCTCGTAATCGGAATTTTAATATCGCCCGTGAATTTCAACCGGCACGGCCGCCGAAAGACATCGCGAGTACCAAATTATTAATTGTCGCCCCTACTCGTGCCGCGTCGACATGGTCGTCGGCGTTTCCGTCGCATCGTCAGGATGCACGGACGCATATGCGGATGACATGGAATGCACGTTGTCCTCTTGGGCGCACTTCTCGAGATGGAGACGCCTCGCTTTCCCTCGAATAACCGACGAAGTCTCGCTATCGCCTTCGTTCCGCGACTTCTTCTTCGGGCTCGTTTCTGCAGACTGTTGATAATCCGACTTTCCCTCTGACGTGCCCCTCCGAGACGACTCGTTGTCGTCGCCACCGACCTCTTCTTCTCCTTCCGGATTCCCGTGTACCATCTCGCTCGTTTGCGAGCTTAGCCAGAAGTCACGTCTCCCCGACATGACTCTCCTCTGCCAAGCGCGCACTTCCCTCTTGGCTTGCTCGGCCTCTTCCGCGAGGACGAGCGCCAGCGACTCGCCCTGCACCGGGATTCTTCTTCCCCAGGTTACCGCACGCTCCGACAGCTCCTCCGCGAGATCGGTCGATTGCCCCGGCCGTGGATTCGGTGTGACGTCCCGCGAAGAATCTTTCTTCTTCTTCGCGGCAAGTCGCATCCGAAATTCAGATTTTCGTTGCTCTGAAACATAGGGGACCGAGTGTGTTTCTACACCGAGAACAGATACCAGATTCAAGTGTAAATAATTACTCTAATAATTTTTAGCAAACTTTTACTTGGATTAAGTCAATTTTACTCGCATCAAATGAATATTTTATCGGAATAATTTACTTGGAAAATATTTTACTCGAATCAAATAAATAGTATTTACTAAGGAGTATTGGAGCAGTTACACAGAACCTATTTAACCGACTCAAACAAAATTCTTGTTTGGATATAGGCAAACAAATGTTTCGGTTATGATAACCGAAATTTGATTCTCCGAATGAAACTTTTTTTTTATTTTCCTTTCAAAGAACCAATCTTTGATTCTCACAACCAAAATATTTGTTTGCCCATCCAAACAAAAACTTTGTTCGAGTGAATTAAATGGATTTCTCAGTGTATTTATTTCAATCCAGCACTTCTTTTCTGCGTGCATTTGAAGGAAACTAACAGCGTTAGCATATCTGCAAACACGTGATCGATTGGGCAATTTCGAGAAAATTAAATATATTCAATAAATGATTGTTTTACCCCTCTTTGCTGTCAGGTAAAATTATTTTGCATAAAAAGAACTTTTTGACTTCGATTTACTCGAAATTAGGAATAATTAATTTAGGAATAATTAAAAGGCGGGGATAATTAAAGATAGCTATTCAGTTTGTCATAATTGGATATCGCACACACACGCTGAGTTCCGTGCTAAATATGTAATTTACGTGCATTATGTACATGCGAATTAATTGCATGTTTATGTGTGCCGATCTAATAGAAGCTTCTCGTTTCAAGTAAATTATCATAGCTTCGTAAAATTTGTTCCGCGCATTAATCCAGTCATCTCATTATGAAGCCCAAATCGTGCGGAAAGTTAATTAATATTCACGCATGTTGATTTCGCATTCAATTTTCGGAATTTGCATGGTCTGCTTGCGCTATAACGCAAATTAATGTACAGCGATATGTCGATATTGCAAAGGCAATTGCGAACGAAGAAATTCGGAAAGGAGTAAAGCCGGCGCTCGATCGCGCGCTAAGCGCATTATTATTGAGCAGTTTCAGCTTACGAAATGAGAACTGCGGGCCGGCGAGACGCGTTTTATTTTATCCCAGCCTGATGAAGCGCCGTAGGAGCCACTAGGCTTATTCCCCACGAGGCCAATTACGCCGGACACTTCAATGCACCCTCGATGCATCTAAAACGCCCAGTGGGACAGCGACGAATGATCCTCGCTTTAATGCTCCAATCTAACGCTACGGTGATTTCGTCCTGTCCAATTTTGCTCTATCGCCCTTATCTCATTTATACAACATCCAATCTCATTCTAACCCTTTCAACCCTCTCGATTGAAATCCTCGTAGGAACTTTTTCGCCCTCGCGACTTACATTTGAAACCCGTCCAGGCATTGCGCCCGGAAAGAATTCAGCTCCCGTTACCGCGTTATTAACGTTCCTCCACGTTCGCGCTGCGTCAAAGGGATGTAACTTTTATCTCTCTCAGAGAGAAACAAATCTGCTTACGCGCGGGCGCTGTGAGCATTATTAATCTTGAAATTTAATGAATTAAAATAATGAAAATTTGCTCCCGATGCACACACGCGCACATGCACGCGCGCATGTTCCGACGTAAGTGGAGAGATTCAGAGTTGAAAATGTAAAATTGAAAATTCATTAAATAGATTAAATAAATGAGAGTTACATTGTCGGATCATTTTGCATAAAATGCATCGACCAAATATATTCGTTTAACGATACATTTTATCGCGAGTGGATATGTGAAAGCCTGATATAAAATAGCACAGTGGAAACATTTATCGCGCGCTGCCAACAAAATGTCGCGCGTATTTCGATCGTCGAAAAGACGACAGTATTCTGATGCGTCTTTAATTGCTGCGCAAACAACAGTCTTAAGTATGTGTCGCGTGGTACTTCCAAACTCGAGATACTAATTTCTAAATGAAAATGACGTTTCGAATACTTGCTGATAGCAGATACTTTTCCCAGTATATTAGCGCGAGATACGGAATGCATGAGGTAAAGATCAAGTATGGCGATACGATTGGAGGTATTGTCTCTGACTGAATTGGTACTTTTGTTTAGAAGGGACAACACTTTCCGTGTGTATGCATAGATACGAGATATATATATATATAAGATACCTTAAATATGAAAGAGGAAGATATCCCTAACATAGAGTTTAAATAGCCGAGTGGTAAAAATGGTTGCCTGGTAAGCGGAATACTCGAGTTCGATCTCAGCTGAAGAGTTAGTCTCGCTCACAAATTTCTCACCTCATATGACATTTAAAGTGAACTTCTACAGGTACAAACAAATATTCTGACTTCTCCACAGTATTTTTACAATACTAGGAATTGATAAACTTACTTCCAATCATCCGATACATTCGTATCGCGCGTCGTAACGTATTTCCTCACAATGAACATCTGATTTCGAGATATTAATGTCCCTTGCAATTACGTGGGGTTTTTATTTCAACGCGTATCTTTAATTTTCGGCGACACATGCCGAATAATGAAATGACGGCTTTAAGAAGGACGGCGCGAGATTACGCAATTTCTGATTTGAGAGAAATCGCTGTATTACTAAGGTGGCTTCGAGAACACGGCGGATGCGCGGTCGTCGGTTGATAAAAATCCCTCTGTTAGCGATTCTTATAAATAGAAAGGAAATTGGCGGAGAATTGAGGGTGAGATAAGAAAGCGTCCTCTTGAATCGTCTGTCGGGGCGAGTAGAGCGAAATAGCGCGGCTAATAAATTCTCACCGGACGGTGATTCACGAGCGCGAACGCGGACTTTTGCTATATACACCTTTCATTAAGAAACCGCGACGCTGAGAAACCGCGACGCCCTCCGCGTCTCCAATTACCATCCGGCGCGGTATGGAAACAGCCGAAGGAGAACAACAATCTACGGTGAGGTGGATCCCTGAGAGTTCGGTCACATTAATCTAACGCGAATGTAGTTTGGATAGACGCGACGTACAGCTTACTTTGAAATCGACCGCAATCGCGACAACGACGTTCTTAATTAAGTTGCGCGCGATTGCGTGCTGTGCTCGCCCGCCACGTAGACGACGTTTCCCGACGACGCGTCGTCGCCGTCAGCGGAACGGGTTGTCGATGGAAGACAAACGACGGGGGTGTAGACGTCGGCGGATCAGAACAACGGACTTTTATCAATGTTTCCAGCTGATGTGGCGCTTTCACGCCGGTTTGATCGCGTTTTCCGACCGAAATGTTCCGAGCGGAATTATTTTCTTCCCGCTCGTTTTTCTACCATCTCCCTCGCTCCCCCCCCCATCCCCCCTCTCCCGGATTCGCGGGTGGCTTATCAATCTGCGGTCGTGGTATTTCTTGCCTCCAGAATTCGTCGTCGCTCGCACAGGTCTCGTACAGGTCTCGTACGAATTACGTAACACCGTTATCACGACGCGAATAAAGCCGCGCGACTTAAAGAAGTGGCCCGGTCGAATCATACCGGGCTACAAATGAATCTCCTTAGGGGCCGTTCAATGATCACGTGAAATTTGAGCATTTTTCATCTCTCTTTTTCCCTTCATCACACATTTCGTCGCAAAATATTTCAATTTTCTTCTAATATTACGTAATATGTAGAATTAGTCTCCCTCCTCCCCACTTCTACATAAAGGAAACTGGGGCTGGTTGGCTAAAGGGATAAATTAACTAATTGATTATTTCTGTTGTTTCTGTAACAGGTTACAGAATAAAAAACAATTGGAATTTTATAACTACTTTCGATATGTCTAAAATTTCTTGCACGATTCCGTAATCTGTTAGAAAACAACGAAAATAATTAGCCAACTAAATAAAATAATTAGCCAACTTACTCTTTTAACCAAATAGCTTCGGTCTCCCCTGGAATAAAAAATAGTTTATAATCATATTGTGAGTAATAATTATTAGACCGCATTCTACTATCTTTTTCTAAAATAAAAATATTTTTTGGACGTAATATCAAATTAATTATTTCATTTTATAATTTTGATTATTAAAAGTTATGTTTTTAAAATAACAAATATATCGAAATCAACATTTTGATTATTAACACAAAACTATATTAAAATTCTAAGATTTTCACCAAATGTAGCCAAACGTTTCACGAACGCGAACAAAATGAATAACCACGTACATCCATAGTTACAAGTTATGCTATCTAATGTGACGTTCCATGGCCTTTACTTCCCCCCCACTGCTGTCATAGATTGTCACGCAACCTAATAGACCCTTCCTCCATCGTGACGTAATTGTTGAATTGCCCGTCATTCCTCAAATGCGAAGCGAACACCTGGCCCGTCCACGTGACACAAGAGCGTCTTATCGATAAATGAAAAATGGCGGCCCGTCAGGCAGGCGAGACGTCGTTCGCGCTGTCGTTGAAAACGGGAGCTCACCTTTTATATCCGCGCAACAGATTTCCGGCAGGCAGACCTCGACGGAGCAGACCTTAGCCAAAATCTCGTCTTTGCGACGTTTCCTCATCTTTCCCTTTTTCACGATTGGCGCCGCTATCGTTGCCTGCACTTCTTCAGACACTTCCGGTGAAGACTCGGCCGGAGATATGAGCTTCTTCGCTTTCCTCGTCTTTTCCTTCTTGACGGGCTTTGGCTGCTTCTGTTCTTCAACAATTTGCTCCTCCACCTTCACTGGCACGCGCTTTTTTCGTTTGCGCGACATCTCGTGCGAGACCATCACTTCGTAGACGTCATCCTCGAAAGGCGCGTAGCTGGCGAATTCCTGGAGAAAGGTTGCGATCAAAGTTCTTGCGAGGATTTTTCACGCATTCTCCGTGTCACCGTGTTAGCTACAATCGCGCATTAATTTTCGCCGAGACAACGGAATATTCTGCAGAAGAGAGACAAGAGAACAATAACGAGTTACTCGAAGTGCTACTTTTACAGCGTCGCTTCAGTCTCGCGATGAAGATCTCAGTGCGAGAGTGAGCGCGATGCACTAGTTATTCTTCCGCTATGAAACGTAAATGCTCCTCGTTAATGTTTCAACGACGTGAAGATACGCGCGTTTTGAACAGCGCGAGGTAACAGCAGGAACTCGCGTAGTCGAGCACAGAGAGAGTGCACTCTCCTTCCTTCTTCGCCACAGACCCTCTAATAAAAGTCTGGACACGATGTGGTTTTATCAAAATCACGTGAGAGTGAGAGAGAGAGAGAGAGAGAGAGAGAGAGATTGTATCTTTCTCTTTCTAACCTTTGACGCGCTTCTAAGGGTTTCTAGGGCCCATTTCACGTTGCAAACGCTTAAAGAAAGAACATGATTGGTCTATACAACTCTTCAAAGCGTTTGCAGCGAAAAGTGGATCGTAGGTTATAAAAAATGAATGAGTATGCAGCTCCATTTTGCAATAATTCAGCCAAAAGCTACATAATGAAAATGTTTCTTAGAAATATCGAACGTCATGCTTTATAGGTTAAAACATTAGACGGATAAATTGGACGCCAACGAACAATTCGTTTTTCCGCGAGGTTAAGTAATATTTTTAGTAGAGGGTGCTATTATGGCTCCTCACCCCCATTTACATTTTGTACAATAACTCGGCCAATAATCAATATTTTTAATTGAGAACTGAATGATTACATTCGTCAAAATGTTGTTCAAACAATTCTAGATGCAAATTTATGAAATATTTATTATCTGGGACGTTATTTATAAAAATATGGCAATGCTGCAGAATGGATCGAACGGAAACTGGGATGGTAATCCCAACTAAAATAGATTTAAAACATTGGTTCTGTTTAAGATAATATAGAGTTTTTGTTACAAAATTATATACGTATTCAAAACAAACCCTTAGAAGGAATGACAATAAATAGCACTGTGAATCTTTAACGTGGATACTTACTTACTTGTCAGAAGGACAGCGGTACAGCAGTGAGCTATAGATTAGAAGCGACTTACCGAATGACTACTTCGATATGAAAACTTCGAAACACGAATATAAAAATTCGAATATAAGCGAGAGAGTTGCCAAAAAATGGCGAATTAATCTAAAGTGGCTGTTTCCATATCTAGACTCTTATTAGAAGGTCTCTATTCTTCGCGGCCACCCAAGGTCCTGCCTCACCCTCTCCACCGTGCGAAAATATTCCGCTTGCGATTCAATTAGCACGTTGTCGTCCAAGAACGAGTCCTCTCTCGCCATTCGTCTCCACCGAGATTTCGTTCGGAAGTGCTCGTCCCTTTCTTTAACTTGCGTCTTCGACTTTTGTTTCTTCTTATCCTCCTCTTTCTTATGCCTGCTCTTTGACGTCGAGTGGCGTATATGATCGTCCGCCGCGGAGTCCTCGTGGGCTTTCTCTCGCATCAGCCGTATTTCCTTCGATCGAGTGTCAACGGTCTTTTCGAAACGACTGCAGCTCTCAAGGTACTGCACGGTAAAGGACACGTTACCTTTCATCTTCGATCAGCGTAAAGTGACGTGAGATCAAAGTTCGGAGTACACGTTCAAATTCGAAGAAAATAGCAAGCCGGAAAATTGAAGCTCGCGCCAAGTGCGTAACGTAAAGACAGATCTCTCTCTCTCTCTCTCTCCCTCTCTCTCTCGCGACAAAGAGACACTCTTCTCGCGGACGATGTATGAATCATAAATAAAATTTGAAGCGTGTATCTCTCGGGGCAGCGCACGTTATCCTACGTTGTGACTTTTTTAACCGATCACCGGGGCATCCCGAGACACTCACGAAGCTCAGGCTCGCCTTGTCGGCTTTGGTGCTGACGGTGTGTCCTTCGGCGCACTCTACCAGGTATATCTTGCCGTTGTGAGCGCCGATGGCCAGCAGATGACCGGCTCCGTGCGGCGCGATGGCCGTCAGACACTGGTTGCACACGCGGAACTCGGCTACCGGCGCGTCCACACCGTTAAGGATGTCGTATACTTCAAGTAGGCCTCTCACATTTATGGTGAAGAACACCGAATGCCTGGCCCTGCTCCAGCAGCCTCCGCTCAAATCAACGTTCTGCTCGCTGTGCGCGCAATTTCACGGAATTTCATCCCTTAATTTCTCCCGATTCCGTGATACTTCGACGCGCGAGCGCGCGCGCACGCGAAACGATAACAACATTAACCCCGAAACTACCCCCGGCAAAAATGACAATCGGAACCGTTTTACGGCGATAAACAAGACATTAATCGCGCGATGCATCTCTGTTTACGCGAACAGTCGCTTCGTCTTGTTCCGCGCTAAGTATTCACCGGCTATGCCGTGCAGCGTTTCCGCACGCTGATTAATTCATCAGACATGTCGCGAAATACCGATGCTGATAATAAGGTCAGCCAGCGATGATATATTAGGTCTGTTCTATTTAACTGAACAAGTGTTGCATAGAAACTACGTCCTTTTTACCTTTGATGTTAAGTTATATACTTGTTTCATTCTGTAAAAACAAAACCTACACCACACAGAGAGAAAAATTTGTTTGGATTTAATACACGTGTTGGTTTGACCTTAATTTATTTAATATAAACAATATAATTTAATATCAAATATTATTTTATTTGAACGAAAATGTTGTTTCACTAAAATAAACTTGTTATGTTATTTGAAGAAAAAACAACATTATTTAGAAGAAATAATGTTTGGTTTTCAATGAAGGAAAAAATGTATTTTATTATATATTAAACATTGTTTAATACACTAAAACCAAAAAGAAGTTCTTTAATATTTTTCTAACATAATGTCATTTCTTTCAAGTAATATTTATTACTTGTAACCGCCATTATAATGGATGAAAATATAGAAGAAATATGTTATTTGATGTAAAAAGAGATATTTATCGTTTGAGAAACCAAATAATCCTGTTTGTTGAGTCAAACACTCGTTTATTTACTCCATTCCAGATGATAAATTTATTTCAATCAAAGAAATTTTATTAAATCCGAAAAAAATCCTTTTCTCTGTATAGTTTAACTAAGAAGAACAAACTTGTGGTATAGTATAATAATTAATATACGTGGCGCGAATTTTTAGATAAAAGCGAATTTTGAAAGCAAATGCTTTGCCACTTTGAAAATCGCGTGAATTTGAAACAGTAGTGAAACGTCGAATTGATCAGCCGATCCGATACGTAATCTGAGTTTTCCCTCAGATCGTACCTCAACGGTGACTCATGGTTTCAACTGATAACAAGTACTCGAAAAGGGCAAGCTTTACTTCGCGCCGAATCAGCTTCAACGCAAGTAACGTCGGAACCGAATGATCCGTCACTTAGTCAAGAGAATCGCTCGCTTTAATCCGATTAATTTTAACGAACCAGATGGTGATCAAGCTATCCTCTCTAGTGTCGTCCGCCCAGATCTTAGCGGTGCAATCGCCCACGGTGAGGAAGTTCTTCTGAATGAAGGGGTTTCGATCGATTGCGATGACCGGGCCGTGGTGACAGTTGAATCTGTTAGCGAGCTTGTCGGGCAACGAAGTCGTCCGGCGATTCACATTGATCACCACGCCGTTCTGCATGCCCGCCATGAACTTATAGCCCATAGTGAACTCGAACTGCAGCGACGTGACACCGATCGCCTTGACGATGTCCGCGCGGACCGGGTTGTCCAGGTCCATCACCAGTACGTCGGTGGGCTCCTTCAGCTTCCTGATGTCCCACCACCTGACCGTGCCGCCAGTAGACGACGAGAAGAACTCCGTGTTGGTCTTGGAGACGAGCCAGAGCGCCTGGTTCGCCGGGTTTCTTTGCGACGGAAAGGGGAGAAGAAACGAGAATGACGGGGATTACAATTTGGCAGCGAGGCGGCTCTTTGGAAGCGTTTTGTCGTCGCGACGACGACGATGAGATCGCGATCGCGTTTACGAAACGAGCGAGAGAGAGGGAGGAGAGAGAAAGAGAGAAGGAAGGAGGAAGGAAAAGAAAGAGAGAGAGAGAGAGAGGAGTCAGGGCGATCTGTAAAGCCAGTCGACTGTGATGCCCGCTTCGTAGTGTCGACCCGAGACAGGCAGCTTGTACCGTTTAATTACCGTCTAATTCAGTTAATTGACCGACATAGGGCTCGATGATGGGGAATGAGATCGTACTTTACCGACTCGACACGATTGGGTAAAATCGCACGTCTCCATTATCGTTGATTTCGAAATTTAGCTGGGCCGAAGTGGAAAACGCGCAGTTCACAACGCGATCTCAATAGCATCGCGATGACTTTCGATAATAAACTTAATAATAGCGCTATCAAGGAATTATATATTTTCCTTGATGTAGCCAATGTTAACCCCGTTAACGGGGTAAGTTAATAATGCTTGATATCTTCCAAAATAAAACAGATTTCTTCTATAGTTTTATTCTATACTTTTTAACCGATTTATTCTATATTTTTAAACTTCTCGGCATATATCTTTTTTCTTGTCGAAGGATTGTACTTTCGAATTATACTAAAGATAGGCACAAAATATTATATAGAAAAGAACAAAAAAATAAAACGTAAAAAGTGTGCCAGACTAGCCCCGATCTCTCCTACTTTACGCGCAGGTGTTTAAGTTTCACCCATTGTATTAACACATTCTCGTCGATGTACAATATCTGCCGCGAAGCGCATTAATCTAGGCATTAGAAACTATCGTTTACACGGCTTTGCAGCGTTTCTCTCGGAGGATATTTGCGATTCCGGACGCCATACGTCAAAGTCAAGCACGTTCAAGTTCTGGCCAATAATCTCGGCGGATAGGTGTAAGTCCTGGGGAACTTCCCATTCGGAGATGGATAGGTACCTGTGGCTAAATTGAAGATAGGACATTTGCACTGGCCTATTCCCAATCCGGGTGTCCCAGTTGCACACTTGGCCAGACATTAGTCCGCTAATGAGCATCGATGGGTCGCGTGGATTAAACTCGATAGTCATTAGCGGCGACGATGATCTCAGCTGCATCACCGGCTTGTTCGGGTTTTCTGCAACGAGACGCAATTACACCGTATAATTTTCTTTCGGAAATGTCACTGCTGCAGTGAGCAAACGATCGGTCGAGCGTTCAAATGTCTGAATTTTTTATATTTTATATAAAAAAATGAAAAAAAATATATAATTTCTTCCTATCAATCGCGTGTATTCTCCTCTTTACGAGGCAATCTCGACAATTCGTTTAGAGTAATCCGAAATTGACAGATTTAGACGGTTAAATGGATATATTTTCTCTCACGCACTCTGGATTTTTTTCATTGTGCTTATATTTTAACTAAAAAGATTTGTATTACTAAAGGGCTTGCGCAAAGCCGAGACGCGTTTTTAATATAAAACTCTTGAGAATATTTTTATTGATGGCCTTCCACGTGTTTTCATTTTTTTTAAATTTGTACATATATATTATATCTGAAATTTGTGTTACACCCGTAAAAGATTTTACACCGCGCCATATTACACTGCCGGAAATCATGTTACTGGAAATGCGTTCGGCTTTATAAGGGATTGTTTTTGTCATGTGATACGTTTCTGTCAATAACAAACGTAAACAACACGCGTGCGCACCGGGCGCGACGTCTGGTATAGATATAAAGAGATACGTCAGTGAGACACATTTCAAATATTATGAAGGACTTTGAAACGGCCAATCGATTTCCGCAACCAGAACCAGGACGGGCGAGTGACAGGTCGCATTTGACGACGACACGATGAAACATACTTCCGATACGTTGTAAAACGTGTCACTCGACACGCTAAAAAAAAGGAATCTGCTTCGCGAGAGAGACTACATTAATATAGAGAGAAATTCAATAAAATCCAAAAATTTTCGAGGAGAAGTTAGTTCGCGCGAAATACGACAGAAAATTCATTCGTTTGATTTTCGAGTTATTTTAATATTAAATTTGCACGGAAAATTATGTGAAAATAATATTAAATAATCGAGCGAAATGCGCCACTCTCTCTTTCTCTATCGATTTCAATTGAGATCATTTTGACGCTATCGTTAAATTCCTAGTTCGCGCAACTAACTGTATCGACAACTAAAACAACGAATGTAGAAACCGTTATTGACGCTGTTGCTGTTAATGTTGGAATTAGATCTTCGGACGAAATTATGATGCATCGTCCGAAGCGTGACCGTGCATAGAGAAAAATAATTTATTGGCACAGCAAATTGTACGCTATCGCAGCAAGATCTGCCGATTACTATGTGAACGGCAAAACGATTTGTTAAAAGTACTAATTGCCACTTGTTGAATTATTTTGTTGAATCTGTAAATTTAGCTGTAAGAACAACTTAGCAAATATAGGAAGACGCTATTTTGTTTTAATAGCAAATTATCTTACGAACAAATTCACTCAGCAGAATATTTTCTATCCTGGCAATAAAATTGTTTCTCCTCTGATCATGGATCATTTGTTAACTTGGCTGTGCCAATTCAATTAAATTTATTTAAATTAAGTTACATTTTATCGCTATTGCAACGAATATACAGTGGCAACGATGGCTTCGCTACAATGGCGACATTATTTTTCTCCATGTGCGTACGTTTCTCTGAAAATGTTTCGCGTTGTCTGGCAACGATGCGTGTCATCGTGCGATAATTTAAAGCAACATTCTACTACCGATGTCCCATATATAGGAGCAAGGATCCACACTGGGTGGTTGCCTCTCGAACTCCATGAAAGAGTAGGCGCCGGCCAATCGATTATGTTCACCGGACGACCACGACAGGTGACTGACTGGTCTTACGATGGGCTGCGGGTCGACGTATGCGTTTAACGTTCTGAAAGGAAAAAGGAAAATCACAGATCCGCGAAATCCGCGTGAAATCGCGCCCGTGGAAATCCTCGCTCCACTCTTTTCGCTCTTTCCTTCTTTCCTTTTGTTTTCTAATAAAATTCCCAGGAGCGCGTAAATCATCCGCTCGACGACGTGACGATGAAGGACCGTTGCTTTTGCACGTTGCAGATGCCACTCCTCACTCCCTTTTTTTTGTTCCCAGTTCGCACGACAGCACGCTCCGCGAGTCGATTAATTGTAACGACAGCCGTGGATTTTTTGTTAGGATACGCAGAAGCGAGCGAACACCATTAGTGCTCGGAGGGATGTAACGGCGATTTCTTTCCGTCGCGATCAAAACGCTTTTCTCCGCTCTATCCACGTTCCAAGGATTTGTCGGACACGAGAGAGAGAGAAAGAGAGAGAGAGAGAGAGAGGACTGGACGTTTCTGATCTCGTAAGAGAAAAGCAAAGCGAGAAACAAAATGTTGCTTCGCAACTCTGGCTCGAATTTTATCCGATTATTCTTTCACCTCGTTCTTCTTCACGAACGCTCCCTCGTGTTTCAATGAGTCCTCGATAAAAGAGGGGATAAACATTTTTAGATCGTCATCTTCCCTTTTCCTTCTCTTTCGTGAAGAACAAGAAGAAAATTTTGAAATCTTTCTCACCACTGTCTGTAGATTAAGTTGTGAAGACAAATAGTGCATCCAGCGTGTCAGATGCTATAAATTCAAGAGTGCCAGCATCGTATAGGCAAATTAAAGACTCATGTGTGTGTGTGTGTGTGTGTTATGTGCATATACACATATACATACGAGAAAAGAGGATCAATTCGCCCGCATGGGTCGATATTCGGCCTGAAAGCGGCGTGGCACCTGTGAAGCGCAACACGTGTTCCGATGCGCGAGGAAGACGGGGAAAATTCGCGACTCACGTTAAACAAGCGTCGCAGGAGGAAAAGCCGAACGAGATAAGCGATTTTCCTTCCATGAGCCGCTCAACGACAACATTGTCCTCCGTTGCGAGGCGACGCGTTGATTTATACATGCGCCCGTTCCGTAAAAAAATTGCCGAAGCTCCATGTAAAATACGCGACGATATAGTCGGGACGCGATAAGAGTCCGAATATGTACCCCCGTCGAGAAGGGTGTGTTTTCGGGAGAAAGTGAGAGTTCTTTCGAGTTAGCGCGAGTTATTGGAATATTTTTTGTCGCTTTGTACGACGCGCGCGCAGAAACCGCCGGTTGATTTATGAGCCCTGTCTTTTATCAGTCTGTGCAAGAACGCGTCGTGCGAACGGCGAATCGTCGAGTCGCGGGTAAGATATCGCGTCACGTATGATAATTCCGCACGTGACCGTGATTTGTCGAGGGAGATTTAACTCGTCCGAGGAAGCGCGCACGTTGGACCCCAAATGTTCCTGAGATATCGGCGATAACGGAATTTGCGATTCAACGCTCGCCGGTCGATTGTAAAAACGGGCGCGCATGTCGGATCCAAGCGTGAGTTTTGAGCTCTTCAAACGAGCAACGCGCACGAACGTCGTTAACGTCATTCTCGTCGGAGAGATTTTTAACTGAAAAAAAAGTGTTAGCACGTTTCGCGCGGAAATCACGACACGCTGTGATTTTTTTTTTTTTTTACTACACCCGTGATCTTCGGAAATTGCGAGAACCACGAATTTCAATAGCGATGAAAATGCGACGTACCTCACACCGCGAGGAAGAATCAGCGCAGTCGGCACTATGTCGTCGAAATAATGCTCGTAGATGTTGATCACATTATTCTGCTTCACGTAATGCTCCATAGGCTTGGATCAATAAATTGATAATTAGTCGGCAAAAATTAATAACTAATCACTATATTGACACACGATGAGGATGGTGAGGAAGAAAAGATTTAAGAAGATTGTAAGGTAAAACGAATTTGATAAGAATGCGATGAAACTTGCACTACGTATACGTTGAAATATTATTTAACTACTCGTACAATTCGGAAAAGGTTAACTACTTTCGAGAATTGAGATATTTACTATTAAATTTGACACTTTTGATACGTTCCTTAATATTAGCGTGAAATTTTTAATTTCTATTTTTAATATCTTTTAAACTGTGTGAAAATAAGATATTGGTAAAAAATTACTATCACATTAAAGATACAAACATTATATTTGAATATCTGAATTATTGGCAGTTTTGAAAATAAAGCGATGTAAAGTTCATAATTTATAGTAATACTCGAAGTACATAAACATATGCACATATATTTAAACAGTTATATGCCTCTTTCTATACAACCTGTATATATATATATACATTAGATCAACTAATGCATAAATATAGCATTAATAAGGAAAATAAAAAGTAATACTTCCGTAACGTGTATATATGTTTACTTCAACTTCGATTCAAATTAACATTTATTATTTAATTAGTGAAATAAGTATGTAGAAATTTAATTTTGCTCGATTAATAGTAAATTTATGAGTGGTCTCCTAGATGCAGCACTTAAAACATGATACTGAGCCTTAGAATCTCCTTAAACAGTCGGAATATATTTCTCATAATAAATGTGTCTTAAAAAGCTCTCACGTCGACGAGCATCTTCATCTTCAGCGGCCAACTCTCACCCCTCTCGAAGCGCCGGCGAAATTTGAACGTGATTTCTTCGTCCCTCGGATTTATCTCCTTGGGCCAACCACCCTCGAAGTGAAACATCCCTGTATCGTTCGTCATCTTATTGACGGTTTGCATCTGCCGCGAAGAGGTAAAAAGAGGTATCACGATTCGATGACGGCAGCGATGAAGTTATGAGAGACGACCTCGCCCACCACCAACCCCTCGACGGCCCGGCGTCACCCTTTCCTCTCAAGCGCGTCTTTTTGCCGCAAACGTAAAATCTTAGCGCCACACTTAACGCTCAAGACACCCCTGAGGAGCCCGTCGCAACGGTTAAAGTGATTTACTCGGCAGAAAACGCAATCTCCCACCCACTCTCTCGTGCTGCACTTTGCATTATCAATCTATATTTCCACCGCGGCGCGGCTTACCTGTTCCCCTGTGAAACGCGAATCCCTCCCTCCCCACTCGTCACGGACTCGGTCTCGCAATAAACAATTTACGGCGCGTTTTAACGTAAACCCCGGTTTATGTTACGGCGCGTGTCGTCAAAAGCGCGCTCATAAATATTGAACCGTTTCCGCGAGATTAAATCTGCCGGATTTTATTTTTATTGCGGAAAGCGCACGCGGTCCGACGTAAATTGATGCGGGACGTGCCGCGGAACAATATTACATTCGAATTAAACTTTCCGCGAGTTTCGCTTTGCGCGCGCTCGTGAAAACTCTGATTTCCAGCCGTAAATTTTGCATATTTTTGTGGTATCGCGGATAACATTTAATTTACAACGGTGTAATTTCTGAGATGTGAGAGATACGAAGGCTCGAATTCGTCGTGCTTACGCGTCCAGTGCGTTTAGTAATTCCCGGGAAATGAAATCGCGACGAACGTGGGGGACGGGGCTGCCTGTGTAGAATTAGTTCGACGGTGACTCGATACGAACGTTTCCATAATCCCTGCTTTCCCTTAAATCCCACGATATACACAGAGTGTTTCGAATATAGAAATTCATTAGCGCTCACAGTCGACGCTGAAGAACACTACACTGAAAAAAGAATTTGGTAATATTATATACTAATATTTGGTTGATATTTGTTGACCCAAGTATCCCAGACTACTAGAGATAAATTTTGTAGAACGGATTGAGTTAACAAAAAATCCTCTATCATTTTGCAAACAACACGCAGAATATTAAGTTATTAATTAATGAAAATAGCCATATACAAAGGCTTCTTTAATTAACAACTCGAAAATTTGCAAAATGGTAAAGAACTTTTTTTGTTCAAAGTGACTTACTCTACATGTATATGATAGCTATTGTACTTAGCGGTATACCTTATGTTTGTTCACCTCATCCGTTCTATGCCTACGTTTGTCCATGTTTTTTGACATACCTTATATGTGTATATGTATGTACACACACACACACACACACACACACACACACACACACACATACATACATTATTTATTGATAACTACATCTCTACATGTAGACTAAGTTTGTTTTGAGCGTTTTCGTGCTAAAAAGTCATTCTATCTTTTTTATTCATGCTGAAGGAGAAGAGAATAATACTTTCAGTACGAAAACGTCCAAAACGAACTTAGTTTTCCTATTCCGTGTGTTTGGTAAATTTAAGAATGAGATTGCATTTGTACAATAACGTCGGTACCAACATGCGGCTTCGCATTACGCGCATTACCGGCTAATGGGAAAATCAATGGCGGAACGATGTTCGAAACTTTTCAATCTTTATCTTCTCGCGTTAAAAATTATTTAACACTCCCTTCAGCAACCCGCGCGACTTCTTCCAACGTCTTCCAGTCTCTCTGTTCAAACTCTTTTTTCTCTTTTTCCAGAAGAGAGTTTCCTCATATTTTTATTACACGTGGTTATTCCCAGTGCGGATCGGCTTGCCTTCTTTTGATTAGCGGGAAAGTTCACGTGCGCGCAGAAGTTATCGCGAGGTTACCAAGATTAATACCGAAGGAGTCGAACTTCGTGCCCCCTTCGGGGCTGGCGATCTTCCTCACCTCATGAAGGGCAAATTGCGCGGACTTCTGCCCGCTGCGGTCGCAGTGGCTCTGCTGGACGTACTGCCGCATGAGTTGCGGATCCGGCGGGATGTCCTCCACGTTGATCTCGCTCTCCTCGAAGAAGCATTGCTTACCGAACTGCGACCTCGGCTTGATGTATGCGTACTGGATCAGCATTATCGGAAACCGTTCTCCGCCGAACCGGGACGTATGTAAAACGGCGAGACGATGGCGGACGAGAAAGCGCGGGCCGGCAACCGCGAGCGGCTTACTTCTCCCCGTTAAATTATTTAAGGGAACGCAGCGGACGAAATCGGGCGCACGTGCACGTGTCGGCGCGTTTATTTAACCGCCGATACTTTTTACGCACGAGCGCTTGACGTCGATCGAGAGATGCGCACACAAGCGCGCGCGGGCGTGCACTCGATATAGCGGGACGGGCCATTAAGACGATGTTCAGCTTGTGAGACACGAAACGCGAACGAACCGTGGCGTGACGCAAGAATACCGGGTGTAACGAGATAATGGACGTCTTGAGCAACCAAGAGCGTGTCGGCGACTTGACACGGTGGGCCGGTGTCGCGCGTGTTCTCTCGTCATTGATAGCGTAATCATGCGCGATTATGAGAGTCGCTTCAGCGAACTCCAGGATGGGATGCTTTAAATGCATAAAATCGCGATTGTCGGTTCGATTGATAGTCATACAAGAAGGATCCAACCCAGATGGAGAGTCTCAAGAAAAATGAAGATAAACATTTCAATACATGATTGAAACAATATAAATAAGACGGGGGTCCTTCACAATCGCTCAAAAAGTTAAGCATGCTTGATTTTCCTCTTTTTTGAAGGTATTCATTGACGAGCTTAATCTTTAAAAGTATGGGTAAAAAAGTAAAACGTAACTATACGGGGAAAATATTGTAATAAAAATTACTAGAAAATTTTGCTATGTTGGATTATGGACCATAGCGGAGTTATGACCGAAATTGTTATGTGTGTTGTAATCTTTAGTGGTGTGTAGTGAAATATGTAGTTGTAATCTTTAGTTATGTATTGAAGTGTGTAGTTATAATCTTTAGTGATGTATAGTGAAATGCATCACTAAAGATTACAATATACGTCATAATTTCAGTTCTAATTTCGGTATCAGTCCAGCATCACAAAATTTTGTGATAATTTTCATTATAATATTTTCTCAATCTTTACAAAAGATGGCACAACTAATTGGAAATAAAAACTGTTTTAGTCGCCCGTAAGGTTTGGATTTTTTTGTTTTATGTAATTAGAAGACTATCCATCGGTAACGAAATCTCAGAAATCATAGTTTTGTGGGTTGGATACTTCTTATACAATTACTTAACATTTCTACACCGAAGAATATTTGTCACAAGTTATGTGGACGTTGGTAGAATTTCGACGTATAATTAATTCAGCAGTCATGCTCTTTAAATAGGAAACTGCCATGAGAGCGAAGGAACTCGAATATAAGTTCGCGATTTCATTTCCCGGCGGCGAGTCGGCGGTGCTTTTCCAATTTGTTTACTTACGGCGAGAATTGCGTGGAACTTTTCAACGGAATCGCATGAGAAGGAACGACTGGTATTCGACCTCCCCTTCCGCGCTTCCCCTTTCTCTCCCACGTTGTGCTCCGGAAATATTTCTTGCTTCTCGAAATAAAAGATGATACCTCGAGGGTGCGAACGGATTGACTCGTATTTCAAAATGGACACGCGCGAGAGCGTGATAGAACGCGGAGGAAAACTCGGCGACTTCCTCCGTGACGGATGGAGAAATAGAAAGAGAGAGAGAGAGAGAGAGAGAGCGGGTTGCGTAATTTCTTGCGCGGCGCTCTGTTTCTGCGGCGCATCCCCTTTGTGCATCGGCGATTCGATTGCGCGCCAATTCGCCGCGCTGGATGCACTCTATGGAATTACCGTATACTGCGCGCTCGCGTTCTCGTTGCTGCCGGACCATCGCGATGACATTATCCCTTCGCCGAGAGCTTTCACAATTTCTGCGGTCCGCAATCCGGCGTCCGCCAATCAACGCTTTCGCGCCACCCGATAAATCGGATGAGCCGCCGGAGCGCTGCACCTAATGAATCAGATTCGATGCGGAGCCAGCGGCATTGTGATCGATTATCCTGCGTAGGCGGGGACGCGAATCTGGAACTTGGCGATACCCCAATGCCGGATTCAATTTGTGAGTCCCTAATGGCCGCGCGCTCGCGCGATCGGCTCGTCGAAGTTTTAAGAAATTGGACGCCGCGTCCGATATATATCGAGATTGCACGGCCGAGAGCTATTAGGAGGACTGGCCGTTGATTTAATGGCTCTGTCGTCACGGATAATCGAGAGCGATGCCGATCTTCCGATATGAAATCTGCTTCTGACGCTTCATTGATAATCTTATGCGAGATTCACTCTACAGTTTCCGAATACTTTTTCCGTACGAGAAATAACGTGTGTAGAGCGAATGGCGATAGATCAGAACGTAATTATCGGCTGCTCATCGCCATCTGGACGAAGATGGAAAATAATCGATTCTTTGCACAGTGGGCGTTATATATCATACCCTAGATAGAAAAATTATACATTTTTAATTTTATACATAACCAACAAGGTTGAAAAATCGCACAAACAACTCGATAATTATAACGGTAGAGCTATAATGGCTCTAATTATGATGGTCTTGACCTTGTGTGTATACACAGTAAAATAAATTCGGTGTAAATAATAGTCCAATGAAATTTTTTCTGTAACAAGATGAATACGTTAATTTAACATATATTTGTGTGTACTTTTTAACATGTTCTCGTGTTAAAGTAACACAATTTTAGAAGATTGTTATTTACATAAAATTTGTAATTTTCATTTTGTATGTATAAAGCTGAAAATCATCTAATTTTTGATCTAAGGAATAGTGCAATATACATGACGCTTCCTGTACAGAAGACTTCATTAATGTCGTCTCATTCCCTAAGCATAGCAATATCGGAAATTTCTAATTAGGGGCGTAATTTCCGAATATTCGTGTATCATGACTGTTGATTATTCCGTGGACAGGCAACGATGGTTCAAAGCAGCAATCATGACGCACGAATATTTAGGAATGATGTGTCTAATTGGAAATTGTCGATGTTACTATTTCTATACTATTAACCATGTATCGCGCAAGTTGGAGGTACACATTGAAACGAAAACTCTACATAATTTCAAGGTATGTATCTCGAATTTGGAGGTACTACATGATAGTACCTCCAAATTTGGAGGTACATGCCTCGTGGTACCTCCAAATTCGATGTATGTACTTCAAAATGCTCCTCGTAATTACATAGGGCTTCTATTTCAACGCGTATCTCCAACTTTGACGACACATGGTTAACAGTGTAGGGAACCGCGTCAATAGAGTCCTCAGTACTCAAACGTCTCCGAAACGGGAGATTTTTGAAATGTCTTCGAGTTAAAACACTTGACACACTCGTGTTTACATTTTCCTAAATACAATCTGCCGATTCGTTCGATGACAGGTGTCAGAGGTACGTCGATGACTCGCTCGCAAGGTGCGTGACGATATCGCGATTCCCGAATCCGAATCGAAGATCAGCGAGATTGCCGTGACCGCGGCAGTTTGTGCGGCCCGTAAACTAATGACAATATTATTATTCCGCCGCGAACGTCGGGCGGAATTCGCCAATCAATGTCCTCGCACGAGTTCTCAAATCGGATAAGCCCGGAGACTGAGCCACTCGTAATGAATCGGGTCGATTGGATCGGGGTTTCCCGCGCGCGTACGTGCGGCGACACATATCGAAGATGAACCAGGAAGCGCGTCGCTAAAGCGATTTAGCTACGGATTCCAAACCGCAGCGGCGTCGCGAATGGAAAGTTGGAAATGGAATTCACAGGACCTCAGCCTCGCGGTTCCGGAGTTCCCCGAATTTCGCCGGCAATTAGAAGCGGCGTTCAATGGACGATCACCGCGCGAATGGCGCGGCGGCCAAGTTGCGAGAAAGGGACTGGAAATTAATTCGGGGATGGAATGATAGCAGCGATGACCCCTGATGATGTGTTGCGTTGCATCGACAGGATAATTTCATAAATATGATGTATACATTTAGAGCGGGGACGCGCACGGAAATTACGGTCTCGATAGAGAGCCAGTTCGCCCGTCCGTCCGTCGTGCATACTGTGTCATGTATACTTTACCATTCCCTAGATCAATAGTTAGACGATTTCAGGCTTATGCATGTACAGTGGTGGACAGAAAGCTTATTTACATACTTTCATTATTATATATTATATTATTATATACTTTTTTCAGCAAGTTTTGAAACATATCTCGCGTCCAATAGGGACACGAGATGCGTCGCGAAGCTTATAAAAAATATAACCTTCCCGGCCATTTTGGTCACTTTTTAATATTTGTGCATCAATTGCTATTTTGGAACATCGTTGCCGATTCGTCAAATTATCAACAGTCATGATGCGCGAATATTCGCACATAATGGTTGGAAATTTTCGACGTCACTATATCTAGAGAATGGAACAGAATTAATAGTTTTCTATACGCATAAAGTTGAACATCTAATATCTAAGAAATGGTAAGGTACACGTGATGCAGTGTGTATTTCAGGCCACTCACGAACCTCACCGAGCGGACGCGCACGTTCGACACGCGTCGCGCGTCAACATTTCCTCTAACCCCAACAAAATTCAAAATTTCAAAATTCCGGTAAATTTAGACGAATACTTTTCCGCTCAATTTTAAATTGTCCACGGTTCCTGCAAAATTAATTTCGCCAATTTTTGAAGGGGGGAACACGATCAAATCTGTTTTATAATATCCGACGACTCCGCGAAACCTTCAATGTAACCTCTTGAAATAAATAAGCTCGGAAGAACGATAAAATCGACGATAGCAACGAGGTAAAAGTCCAGTCGCGAACACCATTCCAAAACCCCAGCGAAAAGATGTTAAAAGCTCTTTGGCAAAAGGTAAAGTTATAAGTACCAGCGAGATCGCAAAATTTTCACTCACCTTATCAAAATCAGATATCCAATCGGAGTTATAATATTTGTTTAGACGTTCGTTGCGCTTATCAACGAGCGAGCTTTCAGAGAGAGCAAACTGCGCGAATGTCGTAATTTTATATCCTTCTTCGAAAGTAACACGTTACTTTCATTCAGGTATCCGGGAAAGTGACCTCGCGTGCGCTTAAAAGACCGTCGATATTGGCGGGAGAATCGAAGAAATCTATCAAAGAAGAACTTGGTTCGTCTCAACGAGCCAAGATCGACGAAACGAGCGCCTCATCTGGCGATGTAGCGGCGTTTTCATCGAATGAAAAATCCCGAGTGGCGCGCGTTAAACGCATGTTAAATGAGCATTTGAAGATTTATCCTCGGTTATTAGGGCCGCGTATTATTCCAAATTGCACGATTTCTCGTGGGAATTTGCGAATGACTGAGAGTGACAACTTAATGGGCAATTTGCTGCTTCTGCGGCGCAACGTCGTCGAAGGGGTGACCATGCGGCTGAAACGATGGAACAGCGCCCAGTCCAGCTGCGAGGAGGATAACTGTTCGAGGAAATCCTTGAGATGCATCGAGGACCATCAGCAGTCCGCAGAATTCTGCGGGAAGACAATCGGGGGGTGTAGCAACGGTCATCAAACACCCGTGGAAAGTCGTCCACGTTCTAGCAGCGATTTATTGAGTCACCGGGAATATTATCGATCGATCGGATCCGCTTGCCCGATCTACTCGCGCAAGCCTGCGCAATTTAACAATGGGCGAGCGTGCGATTCAACGGCGTGCGATTCTCGCAAGCGTTCGCAATCTGAGCTCGGTGCGGACGTGAGCCGAGTAATATCTTCTAAGCGCTGGGCCGGCGGGAAACCGGCGACGAAAGGAGAAATTAATCATCAATGCCGGCCAAAGCCCGGCTCTTCGCCTTATCGGAGCGTTCACGAAGAAGAGGAACATCACGGCGCACATATGCCGCCAGATTGCAGCAAAGAGAAAACGGGAGACGTGGAGGAAGATGAGCCTATGCGACCCGAAGCTGCTCGTGTCTCGCAGCAATGCCCCGAATCGGAATCTTCGTGTCTCAAGGAAACCGGCGCGTTATTCGGGAAAGAAGCTTTCTGTGCGAGAGACAGATCGTTAAGAAAGTGTCCAATATCAGATCCTTACGAGGACCAGGAGAAACCTGACCCTCCACCACCAAGGCGAGCACACTGGACCGAGAATCCGCCGTCTTATTGCGTTCATTGCCCGCGGAAAACTTGCAAATCGACCGTGGAACCTTCGCCGATGATGTTCGTTCCCTTTTTTAAGAAACTGCGGAAACCTTGGGCGGAAACCGCTGAGTCGTGCTCGGCGAATAAAAATGAGCGCAAAACAGACGCGAAGGTGAAGACAATTCTCGCGATATCGCAGACGAGTTCATCGCGAAAGTGTGCACTCTCCGGAGACAAGTGCATCGGTTCTCTGACGCTCCTCGCGCCCGTTAGCGAGACCAAGTCGAAACTTCAGTGGTTTCCGACTCTGGCGAGGAGCGGCGATTGTCGAGCTAAAAATTTCGGAACGGAGTTCGTTATCCCCGACGTCGGCGATCGCAAGCTCAACGTGGCGAGCTTGAAGTACCGGTTGAGGAAGTGTCCTCGTATCAAGGAGACGCGGGAGATCGCCGATCGCGAGTCGTCCATCGACGAAGCGCGAGGACGAAAGCGGTGGCCTCCTGCGCCCCGCTCGGAGAAGACGAAGAGACCGAACGCGCGGTCGGAGACCGCGAGGGAAAGGAAGAGGGAGAGAATCGAGTCGCGTAACGGACGGACACGACAGAGATACAAAGTTCATCCGAGGATTTTCCGGAAGAGAAAAGGACAACTCGATTCTTGTCTGCCGGCGATCGCCGAGCCGAAACAACCGCGCGACGGCCACGCCGGATCGTCTCCGTCGGAACTGTTGAAGTCCGCCGCGGACGGCGCTGAACTTTCACCGCGATTGGAAAACCCGTCGGCCGATTATTATTCAGCCGAGTGGCCGGTAGTCGAGAATAAAAGTTACCCGACGAAAATGGACGAGTGCAGGGCGGCTCGCGACGAGGGAGCGTGCACTCGCGAGGAGCGTTACTGAGGGGATTTCAGGCCAACTGTTTTGTACGAAGCGGAACACTACGATATTCGCGTTTACGAATTAAGGCTGCATTAAGTTCATCAACTCTCTCTCGAACTCGCGCGCGAGCGCTTTGCCTTTGCAGCTGCGAGCTTTGAAACTTCAACGCGACGATAAATAAAGGCGAAGCGACTGGCAAAAATGTGTGTATTAATAATATCGCGGTAAATATTTTAGTTGTTGCAGCTCGACCGCGCCGGCGGCATAAATTATAAGTTGGCGATTCTTGGTGAAAGAAAAGCCGAGTCGAGAAACAACGTTTGCCGAAGTAAGCAGTTCGCTCCGCGGCTTTTGCCCATTAACGAGCTATGCTTCTCGAGAATTTCAACGTTTACACAAAATGCAATACTAACAATTATCGACACGTCCGAGAACTGTTTGTGTCTGCGACGCGGACACGCAGACACGCGCGAAAGAAAGGAAGAGCGCTGCTATTAAAATATGTCTGTCGTATTATAACTTTCTCTCTTTCTTCCTTTTTTTAATTTTTTCTTCACGCTTTTCATTTATATTTTCATTTTATTTTTATCTCTCTTCCTCTCTCTCTTTCTCTCTCTCTCTCTCATTCTTCACAAGTTAAAGCACAAAGCTCAAAGCAAGAAATTCACTCTGGATAATATAATGTTACCTATTACTATGCGTTTGAAGAAGTAAATTTATTATGCAAATTGGAATGCAACCCGAGTCGAAATTTTTAATTCTATGTTAAGTCTTCAAGTTGAGAAAAAATAAGTTCCCATTTTTAGTACCGAAGGAGGATAGTAAGTGCTCCTTCAATGCTACGAAAAGAATTTAGTTCTGCAGAATTTAAATTTTGATTCCACATTAGTGTTCAAGTGAAGAAAACGACAATAACTTCTCCATTTGTAGTATCAAAGGAGCTCAATAAAAAACTTTTAGACACTTAATAGAACTAGAGCTAGAACTTAGAACTAAAGCAGGACTAAAATTTTAACTTGGGAATTCACACGAAATCTGAATTCATATAACATATTACTGTTCTTAATGATTATTAACGTTTTCATTAAAGTTCTCAGAGAACTAAATCTTAGAGCGACAATAGACGCTTCTGCCTCTCTCTCTCTCTCTCTCTCTCTCTCTCTCTCTCCGTGTGTGTGTGTATGTGTGTGGTGACAATTATTTAATCTCGCTAAAAATGCGAGGTCATCAGAAGTTCCTGCAAATAGAATTTTCAGAAGGTCCGTTTAATTTACTCCACATTGTTTATATTAATAGGAAGTTGTATGCCGGCGTTGTAAGTGAAATATATGCACGAGACGTCCAAAGGTGGCATTATGAAAGTGCAGGACGGGAGGCGTGGAAATGAAAAAATGCAGCTCGGGTGGCCCGAGACGGTTGCGAAAGAAGTCTGCTCGCAGCAGCTGGCCTCCAACTTTTCACGTTTATCATTATCTCACTCTCCACCTCTCGCACTCCCTTGTTCTCTCTCTCTCTCTCTCTCTCTCTCTCTTTCGCGCATGCTTTCGTTCTCTCTTTCGTCGTACTCCCTTATTTTCGTGCCCGATGGAACAAACTTGCGCATCAAACGCCGTTGTTTTATGGCCGGTATACATTTTCATTTCCGTCGGAGGATGATATATCTCGTAGCCCTAATAAACGCGACTCGGGATTTAGCGGGCATTTATCTTGTCTACATCGTCGCGAATAATGGGAAAAAATGGATACGCGAGTTCGCGTTAATCCAATTCCGATAATTAATGCGCGGACTCCTGGCAGATTTCACGTCCCAGCGAGTCTACGGTATCCCCATTTACCCGATTCGTTTCGTTGAAACGTTCACGCCCCGCGTGACCGAAGCTGCCTCGTTAATTCCCCTTCGTAATTTTGCAACGTGCAACTCGACGATGAAGAACAGCGACGTTCGGCCAGGAGGCTAACTAAACAAGCTGTTGCGTGCGCATAAATATACCGCGCGTAATGCGCCCGGGTAATAAAGCTGAGAGTGTGCGAGATGCGCACACGATCGTCGCGGGTACCTGTGTGTGCTTCTCGAGCTTAGAATTCTACATTCAACCGATGAGACCCGTAATACGCGTCGTTACGCCGCTCCAGTGACTTCAAAATTGCCATCCATCCGCGAGTACGTTAACCCGCATTCGTTTTTTCCCCCTCATTGAAATCGTGCGCAATTAAGGAGTACGAGGTTGAAGTGGGAGTGGAGGAACGATCGCCACCGGCGATGTTCACGATCGTTAACTCCTAATTGAACGCCGACGCACTACCGCGGGTCCCCGGTCAGTCATTTTCCGTAACGGACTCAGTGGACGGACGGACAGGCGGAGGCAACAAAAACAGCGTTCGGCATTTTTTCGCGGCATTCATACGGAACGACACGCATTGTTACAGATAAACGATGATTGGTACCACATGGAGCATCGATCCGTGGCGAAGAGATCGACGGAGCCGCATCTCGAGGTACATCAGAGGCTAATGAAAGACTCCAGGGTACGCCGAGCGGAGCAACAACGGGCGAAATCGCGCACCAAGAGGGATCTTGTAGTCAAACGTCCGTCCAATATACTAAATTTGGTGAACGACGAGAGGTGGCCTCAAATGTGGTATCTGGTGAGCGATTTTAAATGATGATTGATGCTATTGTCAAAGCTAAATTACGCGATTAATTGAATGATGTATCCGGTATATCGAGGTTAGCGTAATCAGAGTCCTGCGAATCAAGGCCCGACAGGGCCGAACCCGATGCGTTATCAAATATAATTTAATTCGACCTATATTTGCCTCGGTAAAGTTAAACTCGAATCTGGCTCGGATTATTTTGTTGACGAGAAACTAGTCCACTCTCTAAATCAGTGTATTATCACATAGAAGCAGTCAATAGTCGCTAATAATTATAGTTATAAGTACAGCACTATACTTAAAAACTACAAATGAGTAAAATTTCACTGCAAAAGTCGCTTAATAGCAGCAACTGTTTCTATCGAAGGAAATCTAACTGCAGAAACAGTGAAAAAAACATATTATTTATTATTTCTTTTTTATTATTTTAATCCTACCGTTAAGATACTGTTAATGATTTTCCGTAAAATATTTTTAATTATGTTTAATTGATTTAATTTATGTCGTATTTGAAAAACACGCTTATCCTGATGGGACTCGAAACGTCGAAACTTTTGAATTTGCTACCGTACGAACTACGCCAAGTACGACATATGATTGAATATATATACGATATGTAGAAGGCGTTGTATCAACATACAGCTCATTACGACGAGTTGCCTGCCCAGAGACGTAAGGGCACACGACCGGCCCGAGTTTGCTCGACGCGCTCTCACTCTCTCTCACGTGCCCCTGCAGCGTGCAATCCGTTGTAATGAACTGTATGTTGATGCAACACCCTGTACATATATTTCTACTACGGGACACATAACAGTGATTTACAATGAATCTTTCATTATCCAAAATCAGTGAAGTACTAAAAGAGCTAAATGGGAGAATTTCCACTAAAAATTAATGAATACTCACTGATTATCGGTAGAATATTATTTCATTTATTAACAATTAGTGCAATTTTTACTTATTAAACTTAAGAGAACATACTCGAGTCTGATTTTACCAAAACGGATATACAGGCCGGACTAAATAATGTTTGATAATGAATTTCGGTCTCGAATTGAGTCCTATCGGGCCTTGATTTGTAGGACTTCGATCGCAATGTTGCGCGGACGACGCGAATGAAGCAATTTTTCCTGGACAAGCCGCATCGAAAATGTTGATTACGGTATCCGGAAAAGCAAGTCGACCGTCGTTCGGCCGTCGGAAGGTTATTATTGCGTCGATCGAAAATATTTGGAGAACGCGGCGTTTCTCGGCGACGGAGATTGAACAAAATGTTACAATCAACTTACGACATTAACTTCCGCGCTTCCGACATCGTCGGTAAACGCAAAAATATGCAGCCGTCTTTTATATATTGCAACTTTCTCGGAAGAGTAGTGTTGCGATCAACAACGGCGACGTAAATAAACAGGTTCAATTAATATCAGTTAGAAGGAGCATCTCGACATTTCTATCACATACGAAAGGGAACACGGGTCTGGAATTGGAATCTCCGAGGAATTCGGTAATCTTTTTTTTTAGAACAGGGGAAAAGGGCTTGATATGAACGTGCAGGGTGCCTGGTTGGAGGGGATCACCGGACAAGGCATCGTTGTCACAATTCTCGACGACGGATTAGAGAAGGATCATCCTGACCTCGTGAACAATTACGTGAGTACCTTGGCGTTTCTCGCGCGAAATCCGCAGACTTCTGTGCGTTTTTGTAAAAAGTAAGCTCCTCTTCACTCTCGCAGAGAACGAGGGGATGATTTAAAACACTCGCACGGAGAAAACTGCTATGATTGCTACAACAACATTCTCTATGGTTATAACAAAAAAGAATATATATATATATATATATAAAATAAAGTTAAATAGATATCGTATTAAAATTTACTGTTGACTTTGTGGACTCGAAGGGATCTACTTCCGCGATAGAATCTCGAACCTGGAGAAACGTTGGGGCGAGTGCGTTTAACTTCGAGGGATCTATGTCGAAAAATAAACTACATTACAAAACTCAAATTGTTATCTTTAATATCAAACCACTCTCGAATGATCAATTTCGTATAGATGTGATATCCATATATCGGATATCTTCATCGAGATCTTCATCGAGATTGTAGCAGCCATACGAATTTCTTCCTCAGCACTATGGTTCTTACAACGTTTATCTATGCATGGGCGAAAAAATTAACATTATAATATTTTCTCGCGGCAGCCATATTTAGTTAAATAATATCCGTAGCGTTTTCTCCGCGCGCGTACAACTTATTTTCAGCCTCGGGAGGCTGGTAGTTGTGTCTCGCTTTCAATTTCCGCCTATTAAAATATCGCGGGATGCATTTACCGCTCCTTTCGTGCGCCCTCTAATTTTTCATAGAAAAGCGCTGCAGCAATCTCGCGAAGTAGAGCTCTCTCCGTTGGATTAAATTTACGCGAATAAGCGGAAACGCACACGCGCTTAATGTTTGCCTAATATCGCGCGATGCTCGATCTCGATGTGTGGGCGCGTTCGACGCCGATCATGAGAAAAAAGGGAATAAAGAGCGAAAGGGAGGAGGAGGAGGAAGAACAATTCCGACGCGGAGAGAGAATACGCGAGCACAATAGAATATGGGCAGGTGAAGGCGTATCGCGGCTACACTGGGAATATCGGCTGTTGAGAGAGCGCGCGCGGGATATCGGGCGGGGTTATCCGATGTGCGCCAGTATGTACATGCGAGCAGCTATTGATTCACGGCTGGTTACATTGAATAGTATACTTGCATACGCGCAGTAGAAAGTGAATCGCATTAATCAGCCGACGATGCGCCTTAGCGCGCCGCTCTGATTACACGAGCTTGTCGCGAGCCGCCGCCGCCGCCGCCGCGTGCGTTTCTCATTATGCGGATGCGTGTACATGCGTGGTTAGCCGCCAACAAATTTATTACGCGTCGATTCGCGTTATCGAGCTGTATGTATTAAACATGGAAATATGCGCGATCGGGATTCGAGGGATGTAACACGTGCCGTCCCTTTAGCGTCCGTGATACTTTAATTAATGAGTGTTGCGGCCTACGTTGCGTGTTATTTCCCCTTAACTCATTTGCATCAGACGCGGATATATCCGTTTAATTTCGCTGTTATCACGCAGGTAGATAATCGCGATTTCTCACTGAAGATGGTCGAGTCAGAAAAATCATATGTTTCTGATATGTTTTATTATATTTGATGTTGATTTGAAAAAACGTCTGGTGATACGGGCATATTTTGCGAAACTACTTAAGTGATGCAAATGCACCGAGAAACCCATTTAGTTGAATTAAATCAAATTCTCGTTTAGACATGGGCAAATAAATGTTTTAGTTAAACCAACTCCATGTGGCGAACGTTAGAAATTACATTGATCACATATATATTATAATATATTATATTACATCATATATATATACATTTGTTATATTATCACGTATATCATATTCGCCCAACATACGTAATCAATATAATTTTGCCAACATTTGCCCACATTCGCTTATATTTACCATATTGTGTGGAGCCCAGCTTTATAAGAACCAAAGTTCGGTTTTCTGAACCAAATCTTTTTCCTTTTCGTCTTAGAGAACCAAATCTTGGTTCTTATAACCAAAACATTTGTTCACCCATATCCAAGAAAGAATATTTGATTAAACTAGATGGGTTTCTCAGTGTGGGTTAAAATATTTCTCTCTCTCTCTCTCTCTCTCTTCAGTCTTCGCTTGGCATCTTTGTTTCATTTAGATGTGCGACAAAATTTACGGCCTGGCGCTGGTAAATTTTAAGTTGCGAAAGCTTCCGCTTTCGTAATTTCTCTACAAACGTTCCCGGAACGTCTAGCCCGAGCGACTTTATGATACATGCCGAACATATTTTTATCGTTGCTCCGGTTACGCGTGTTTCGTTTTTATTAGTCGCAGCAAATATCTCGCCCGTGTCTATTTGTTCTTATCATGCGACGAAAGCGTTACGCACTTGCGATAGTCCGAGAGCGAGAAAGGATTGAGAGCCTGTCGTAGGACACGTGGATCTCAATCGATGCCGCTGCCGATTTTCGTTTCAGGACCCGCTGGCGAGTTACGACGTCAACGGCCACGACGAAGATCCGATGCCGAGGTACGACTTGGTCGATAGTAATAGACACGGCACCAGGTGCGCTGGAGAGGTCGCAGCCACTGCCAACAATTCTATTTGCGCCGTAGGCGTTGCTTACGGAGCTGGTGTGGGTGGTGAGTGCTCCAAAAAGCATTATTTAACACTTCGATTCGCTATGCAGTCAAAAGGGTTTCCTGCGTAATCGTGCACAATTTCCTTCTTCTTCTTCTTCTTCTTCTTGTGCGCATAACCCAAAGACACGCCTCGACTCGCGGGAATTTTTATTCCAATCTACGAGCTCTTGGGTCGCGCTGCGTAATACGAAAAATGGATTGCTATTGGAAAATTTATCGCGCGAAGATTTTAGGTGAGATAAAAATGAGACTTTAAAGGAATGAGATACGATCGATCGTGAGCGAAGTTTATTACCCTTCATTGTCGTCTTGACACGTATATTCGTCAGATGAAATATATTCGTCAGATGAAAAATACTTTTTACACAGCATATATACACCGTCCTCTGTATGAAAGAAAAGTAATCTATAGGGGTGGGAAATTCAAAACACTGAAAACGGCCATTTCATTTGCACCAATCTAATATTATAAAATATATCGATATTTTTCCTCTTTTTCTTTCTCTCTCTCTCTCTCTCTCTCTCTTTCTCTCTTCCTCTCTTTCTCCTTTTTTCTATCTATCTATCTATCTATCTCTTTTAAAATATTTGCTTTATTAACGGAAGGAAGAAACGTCCGAATGTAACGAATCTTCGAGAACAACGCATAGTTCAATCTCAAGCAATCACTTAAAACCGCTGGCAATCCCGTTTCCAATTAGCGTCAGAGAAATCGGCGTCGGAATTCGCGCTGTTACAAGCGACACGTGTTTATAATATGCAAAATTGGTACCGCGAGACGCCGCATCATTTTCGGATTAGAATTCGGGATTGGCAATAGCCTGCTATACACGTTTCATTCGGAACCGATCCAAATCGGAGCGCGGCACCCAATTTCGACCTTGTGAATTGGATCCTCTGACCTACGTGCCGCGGGAATTGTGTGGGATAATTAACTCGGCAAACACGAGATGCATGCTGTTTAACTATTCGGAGACTTCTGATATACGCGTATACTGCGTCGGATGCTCCTCGGAAATCTGTTTTTATAAGCTCGCGTGTCATCCGATGCGCATACGCGCAGACTGTTCTTTATGAATATACCAATAGATATTATATAACGTTCTTATATATTAATACATCATTATATAAAGTTATAATATTAGTAATATAATTATTCACATATTTACAAATATGTTAATAAATTATATATTTACAAATATGTTAATAAATTATATATTTACAAATATGGTAATAAATTTGGTGTTACTTTAACACGGGAAACGTGTTGAAAACTACGCAAATAATGTCAAATTAACGCATTCATCTCGTAAACATATGTTCTCTATGTCAACACAAGTAACACTTGTTGGCTATTTAACTAAATAACACAAAATTTTAGTGGATCGTTTTTTAAACCAAACTTTTTACCGTCTATATAATTATATAAATTGTCATGAATATTTTATAATTATAACGTTATATACGTGTATACGTATGTATATATGTGTGCATATATCGTAAGTTTATTTTTAAACAGGTGTCCGGATGTTGGACGGCGACGTGACGGACGCCGTCGAAGCGAGATCGTTGAGTTTAAATCCTCAACACATTGACATTTATAGCGCATCGTGGGGACCAGATGACGATGGTAAAACCGTGGACGGTCCGGGTGAACTGGCCACTAGAGCTTTCATCGAGGGCATTACCAAGGTGAGTGCTCGTCACCGGGGATTTTATCGCAGTCGGTTTCGCGTTCGTGTTCTCGATTTCATAAAAAGATTGAAGGGGGGAAAAAGGCGATTCATTAGGAATATACTCCTGATGAAAATCTTAATTGCCGCACTCTTTGCGTCGCCGCGTCTTTGACGAAAGAAGGTATGCCGGATACCTCGTAGCTGCAAACTTCGACGTAGCGGCGTAATCCACTTAGGACTGCAATTTTCTTCGCTATAATTTCCTGCGCTATGACAAGATAAATGCAATTAGCTGGGAGAGAGGTACCCTCGTGCGACATGGGAGCTTCTAAGTTGCTTCAAGACGCTTCCTCATCCTTGAGCGTCAAGCTGCAGGGGATCCTGAAGCTTCGCGTTACTATGCTTATATTCTGTTAACGCGCCGCATAAAGGAACGTTATTATCTGCAAAATTCGAGCGAAACCATTAGGTTACGGGGAGTCCTGCCGGCCAGAAAAGAAACGTTTCCTCTTCTTTCTTCTTTTCTCTCGGAAACTCTCGCGAATAAATTGATAGTTCATGTGAGAATCGCGAGGATTATCATAAGCGTCGGGATAACAAACGCGACCGATCGATAAACTATTTCGCACGACGCCGCGATGCCGAAATGCCGATGCCGGAAATTGTTCTCGCGTAACTGGAAATCACGGCGTTCTGCGATTTTTCTACGAGTCGGAATTCCGCTGGAATCGCCGGGTGCAGCCACTTAAATCTTCCTTCTTCGAAGGGAAAAAGAGGGAATTCAACACCCTTCCTGATTGGAGTTAACAAACTCCACAGTTCGATTATCGCGCGCATCCCCGTTTCTTATATATCGCGCGAAAGGAATGCATTTAACTCGCTAATGCCCTTCTTCGTGGAACTAAACAGACAGGAAGAAGTTGTTTTAAGAACCGTAACCTTCGCCATTACAGATTCCTTCGAGACTCGTTGAATGAGCACGGCGGAAACTCGGTCACTCGTCTTCCGGTCGTTACGAGACACCTGTGCACGTCCGTGCAGCGATTTTCGGCCATTGCTCTGATCCAAATGAACTTTCCTAATCAAAATTTCATCCTGTTCTCTCAACTCTAAAATTCATTCATTTCAAGTTTCGTAAGAGGTCAGAGAGAAGTATACCTCGCACAGGTGTTTTCGTCTCTCAATTTCGTCTCTCGATTTATCAAGGACGGTTGACGCGCTTTCTGCTTTTACCAGCTGAGGACGTGCGAAAATAGGTCAATGAATGGATTATCTCAAAAAATGGGTTATTTTATCGGCGCGGGATCAAAATATTGAATGATAGCAAAAAGGTTATTAATAGCAACGGCCGACACTTTAATTAAAATATCATGTTACTGTTATTGACAAACAAAAATACTTGCAATATCGTGCGAACTTCTGCAAACACCTAATATTATTATACAAAGCATTGTCAAGATATACTCTCCCTTTAAGGAGCACTCACCGCGCAACGAGCGTGCACGAGGCATACAATCACGAATGCACAATCCCGTCGCACAGAAGTTGTTGTTTCGAGTCTCACGAGCAAAATTCATTCGCGCTATTAACGCGAGTGACGGTGTCCGAGCGACTGGGCGGGTGCGTCGCGAAATGAAATGAAATTCGCACAAATGTATCATGCAAAAGCGTTCCCCGGGATCTTCCGAGTTTCGGCGCGACAATGGCCATTGTCGTTCCCGATGTATACGCCGCTCGCGCGCGCGCGCCAGCGCGGAAGCGACTCTTCGATCGCATTCGCAGTGTCCCTTTATCGTGATCCCAGAACGGCGAACTTCAGCATTGAGTGGGGCCTCCCTGTACCTCAAGGAACGATCATTAAAGCGCAGATACCTAGTATTAAAGCCGAGCCATCAAGAACTGTCGGCAAACTACGGCTAAAGATTCCCGGTACAGGCTATTTCCGCGATCCCCATGATCCACGTGAGATACTTCGCCCTGTTCCACAGACGTGATGGCTACGGCCGACAGCCGTGGTCGCCAGGAACTCGCTGCGGAATCGTTTGCGAGCCGCCAAAGTACTCAGACTGTTATTCTGCAGTAGGAGCGGTTTTATATGGCAACACTTAGAGATGGATCCGAGCAACAAGATTTTCAACGAGTCTCGTTGATGTCGTTATTCGGATTGCACGAATGTGGTTGAAATTTGGGGCCACCTTTTGGGGCCAAAGTTTTCTTTCAAATTCATCTCAGAAAAAAGACAATAAAAATATGTCAATGTTAACACAAATGAGTAAGAAAAATGAAAGAGATTGTGCGCGCGCGCGAACATTCATTCGTTTGCACAAGTCATCAGGACTTTCGGTTGGAATTTTAATTTATCTTCGCGCGTGCGCTGTCTTCGCAATGAATAGTTGGCTTCCGCGCTCTAATGATTAACAAACTATTTTTTTCTAGTCCGGGACATTCGTTAGTGTACAAAAGTGCTACCCTTTGCTCGCACGGAACGCTGGGATTATTTGCAGAATTTTTTATCTTTGTAGTTTAGCGCGCGCGTTTGAATTTTGTCGATTATAATAATCTTCCGGGCACTCGTTTTCAGTTGTGTTCAAAAGCAAACTATGTTTTTTTCTAATATGTATCGTTCCACGGAACGCAAAACTACTGTCATTTGTTTGCACAAGCCACTGGGATTCTCGGCAGAAATGTTGATTTTTGTGAATATTCGTGCACGCGAATTCTTTCCGTTCTTTTTGTTTATTTACGTTAATACTGAAACATTTTTTGCACAATTTTATTATTTTTTGCATATTTTTGTCCTTTTGTTGAGATTAAACTGAAAAAGAATTTTTTTCATTTTCGCTCGAAGATCGCTCCGGATTTCAATCACATTTGCGCGAATATGATTGGAGAGAACGGCATGACGAATGACTGCGTGTTGATGCTCTACTAGGAATGAGCGGCCTGTAATATCATTTGCGAGAAGATCGAGATGTTAGTTACTGCGAGCTCGAAGATGATATAATTTTGTATGGTAATAATATTGCGCGCTATCATCGGCCGTCTCGACATCCGTCCGCGGACGGACGCTCTTCGTATCTTCTTTCAACGCCAGCGTCGTAATCGTCGGTGGAATCGTCGACGAAACGATGACAGACGTAATTCGATTAGCACGACGACGACGACAACGACGACGGCGACGGAGAACTCTCCTCCAGCTAGACCGGGTTTAATAGACTCGCTCTGCGGGGTCAACCCTCAGAAAGTTTCTAATTGGGTGCTTTTAAGCGACCGGCTCGCCCGCGCGCTCGAGCCGCGCTAGCACGTATTACCATTTTAAACTTACTGCCGGCTTACGTAGCCGTAAGTCATATGCAAATGTCAGTATGGTCGGCGCAAAACTCGTTGGAATACACGGAAACGCCGTATCTGGCGAGACGTATCGAACGGAAGAAACGGCCGCAGGTGCATCACCGCCGAAATTCATAAGAGATGAGCGCGGTAGTTCGCGAGACTGGGCGGCTGGCAGACGCGCGAATCGCCGTAGGCAACTTTATCGTTTATTCGCCGTAAAATGTATTGCAGTGATATCGAGATTTCAAAGGTATACGGAAGAAAATAATTGGGGAGGAAATCACATTGTTTGAAATGTTTTAGAAACCCGAAACTTTGGTTCTGTATTAATGCATTTCCTACAAGTTCCGTAAAACTTGGGGAATCTTGAGATATATCATTACACAAGCTATTGTCTTATTTTGATGATGTAAATGGTTAAGTTTATATCACTGTCCGTGTTTTCCATGTTGAGTCTTGAGGAAAAATTTATCATAGAAAATTTAATATGAAGATAATTACATTAATTAACCATTCATCAAGGCAAGATAATAATAACCTATATGGTATTCTTCAAGTTCGACGGAATTTATATATAGGATTATAGTGAATCAGAATTTTATCTTAGAATATGACTCCTTGATTTGTATATACAGAATAAACTATAAAAGGATGATAAAATTTTTTTAACCGATGTACGAAATACTATTACTTGCGATTTATTAAAAAAAAACTCGAACTATCGCTACAAGTCGCGCACGTAATAGTAACAGCTTGCTCTTGTTTTAAAAGTAATTTTTGCGTATCGTTGTTATATCCGACTGACATTTGTAGACGCGACGATACGACCTACGAGCAATGAAATGAACAAAGCTCTTTCCGGCAGTGATATTAAATAGCCTCGTTTCGTCGAGATTGCTTTTATCTCGTGATTCCTTTTAAGATATCCCGCTCGATAGAGCCCAATGCTGACATTTGTATTCTCGGTGACCTATCTTTATTATCAACGCATGAACAAAGCCCTTCGTGCCTAGAACGTGGGCTAGGAACTAGGAGAGACTATTGAGAGGCTTGAGTGAGTCGGCCTTGAGAAATTTCGCTCTCTTACGCTTTTCTATTTCACGAACCTTCATTAATTCGATCAGATTACTACGACATAACAGACGTTTCATCGTATTTTTCTGTAATTGAAATTTATTTCTTGCATTAAAACTAAAATTTACGCGATGTAATCTGTATTGCACAATACTTAAACTGTGCATATGCATAAGTGTATAATAAAATCTGTGCGATATAGTATATTTTCATACAAAACATGTCAGAAATTTACGCGCTGCGTAATTTAACGTAACACAATTCATTCGCGGAACCCATACGAACCCATCGTTGAATTTATACGTGTTATTTCTTACTATAGTTGAGTTAATTAAAGCGCATAACGAGCCGTTTAATGAACACTTTGCTCGACTGTTTTACTTCAATATGCGACACCTAACTGGGAGAGGGACGACAGGCTTATATTATATCGCGGAAAGCCTAAGAGAGCAACCAAAATACAAGTGGTAACCAACTGTATCGAGCATTGTGTTATCCCTGTAGTAGCTTGGCGTTGCATGCAGCTGCACAGCAGGTATTTAGTACGACGACAATTCCCTTTGTAAGCGTATCGGATTATACACCATCTTATATTCGACAGAGGCGAATGCACACGACTGACTCGGAATTCTCTTTGGGGCCGCGCTAACAGATTCGATAACCTCGCCCTTTGGTCAACAGAATCGTAACTATAGGGCTCATATTTCGTATGTTACCGGTAGAATTACAAGGGATATGCACCTGTGCGTTACTGTTTACGTCAAGTCGGGTTAACACACGTGCGCTTACAATTTCTTCGCGACATTTGCGATTTTGTCACGTTATCTTCTTATTTCCTTTAAAACGAATAAAAATGTTAGTTTACCGAGTAAAATAATAATTTTTAATTTAAATTACGATAAAGCAGAGGGAAAGCAATGCACGTGATACGCAGTGCTAACGTCCATCATTTTAACTCAACTTTATATTCCGCAAAAAATATAGATTTAAATAAGAGACTTGAAGATATTTGATCGACCGAAATAAGAAAAAATATTTAGCAGTAGTATAGATTTATGAGAAAGATTGTGAAGAAACATCTTTACGGAGAATGTAGAGCGTAACTGTAGAGCGTAATGCACAATAACAGTTTCAATTTAGCCAATTTATGTGTCGCACCAGTAGGAGAGGCCGGTTTCTTAGTACGAGTCTGGGCGTCTGATGCAGCTACGTTGATACCTTATCACTTTACGATCAAATAGCCTACTGATCAAAGGCTCGAGCACTATATTACTGAATTAGTTAAGTCTCAAAGAGAGTTCAGAGTTCGTGGTCACGTCTATGTGCATATAGGTGTGCACGGCGGCTGGTCTTATCACGTAATAGCCGAACCTTTAGTCTCAGTAAAATGAACCTCTATGATCTCTCGGTAAAATTAAATAATTTGTGTACGGCATATGAAATGAAATATTACCGGGACATATCTGTACAAGGAAGATCCGCGGCTTAACATGGACAATCGAATTTACACGCGACGATAGCGAGACGGTATTTGTTAGAAGCCTCCGGTTTCTTATCTTCTTTACGGGAAAAGTCGCAATGTGGCAGGTTTTAATCGAACACACCTGAATTTTCCTAAACGAATTTGTCGATGAAATCCATGGAAAAGATGAAAAACCCCCCAGTTTTTTTTTCCTATCCTACAAAACTATAACGTTAAACTTCGCAATTATCTTCACGTTAGCGATTATCCAATTTATCCGCGGAACCTCCGTCATCATTTCCTTTCCGAGTAAACACATTCCGCGCGAATTACGTCCAACACTTCAGTGATTCGGCCGAAGATTGAAAGTTCAAAGAGCAGTTCTCTCAAAAAGAACTTTTTAATTTGCTAATGACGGTGCATAGAGGAAATCACGGGTCGCGGCAATTCAACCCTGACTTCTCGGAAGCCATTAGCGCTAAACATCAGACATCGTCGACCTCCTAACAACGGTTTCGTTCCGAATCATCTACTACTTCGTCTTCGGGCGAGCGCGCGCGCAGAAAGCGGCTTTAACATGCAAAGTGTCCCGAACTTCTAAAGCGCCTTAAGCGTTTCGAGCGTCTTAAAACCAACTANGGGGGGGGGGGGGGAAAAAGTCGACCGCGTCTAAAGTATCTAAAGCGGCAAAGCCAGATTCACTTGAGCCTGACGCTAGAAGCGGTAAATACGCCCGTTAAATCTCGTCGCTCGAGTCCCGCGTTACATAAATTCGCTCGGCCGCGCGATGTTACGCTCTTCTCGCGATTCTCACGCGAAGACCGCCATCGCAATTAACAGATCCACTCGAATTCTATTTCTAAAACAACTCCGGCTGATTCTCGATCATCAGGGTCGCAGCGGCAAGGGTTCCATCTTCGTGTGGGCGTCCGGAAACGGCGGCCGAGACCACGACAACTGTAACTGCGACGGCTACACCAACAGCATCTGGACCTTGTCCATTAGCAGTGCAACTGAGAACGGCCTCGTGCCCTGGTACAGCGAGGCGTGCTCGTCGACCCTCGCCACCACCTACAGCTCGGGTGCGACGGGCGAGAAGCAGGTCGTCACGACGGACCTACACCATCATTGTACCAGCAGCCACACCGGCACGTCCGCGTCGGCGCCGCTGGCCGCCGGCATCTGTGCCCTCGCCCTCGAGGCGAACCGGGAGCTGACCTGGAGGGACATGCAACACATCGTGGTCAGGACCGCCAAGCCTGCGAACCTCCAGGCGCCTGATTGGGTGGTCAACGGTGTCGGCAGAAACGGTAAGTGCGCGTTGGATTTTCCCAGCAGAAAGGAGAACTTCTGGGCTTTCGAAGAACCTCCGTGTAGGAGAAGTTACGTAACGTTAAGAGATAATCAATCCGCGCTCTTGGAAAGCGTAATTAGAAGCCGGGAAGATATTTGTCGGAGGAAATCACTTGTCACTAATACATGGAAGAAGCAATTATCAGTTGGTGTAATTGAATTTTTGCTCGGGGGCTACACTCAAACTCGGTTGTAAGAACAGAAAAATTCTTGTAGGAGATTCCTACTCAATCAATTGTTCTCAGTCGTCTCAATCGAGTTTTAAGGCGGTATTTACAGTCGAATCTTATATTTAAGATCGTCTTAAGTCCACTTTCAGATACTGTACAATTCATTCCATTGATTACGAGACATTTCAAGATAAACCTAAGACGATCTTAAGTATAAAATTTTATTATGAATATCGTTCTTAATACAGTTGAATGTTCACGCGAATATTCTCAGTTACGGTAAAAGAAATATCGCCTCTTGTCGTCGAGTTCTCATCCCTTGTCGCCGAGTTTTCATCTGGTCTCTATTCTATTGCGGGAAGTGAATTCTTTTTTCTATGTATCAATGTTAAACTTCTAATTGAATAAGAAATTTATTTCTCATGATAATATAGTTCGGCAATCATGCGATCGATATATACTTATAATATTCTTAGTAATGTACTTTAGATTATATGAGGTCCCTCTTCGGGAAATAACTAAAAAATCGGGATAACAAAGCTTGCGATATCACTTAAATATAGATAGTTAAAAGTAGCGTTAGACATGAGAATCGATTCAACATCGTAGTTGAATATGTTCAACAGTGAGCCACAGCTTCGGTTACGGGTTGATGGATGCCACTGCCATGGTACGCTTAGCAAGAAGGTGGAGGACTGTTCCGGAACAACACAAATGCGAGGTATCGGCGCCGCACACGGGCAGGTAAGAGGCAGGGAAAGGGCAAAAGTTGAGTAAAAAGGGTTTTAATATCGGCGTTTCTCTTATCTTCGAGACGACTCACACGAAGAAAGATATAACGATTACACGAAAGATTTGTCAGTCGTATGAAAAGCGCTTAAAACCGAGAGATAAAATCGAGATTTGACCGTACAGATTGCTATTTGTCCCTTGGGGCAGCAAGCATGCCTCTCGCAGATTACGGATCCGTTGGAGCATGTCGACCATCGTCAAGCGGGCTTTACCCATTCGACATTGCACGGGAATCCTGGTAACTGTGTGTAATGCGCCGTTTACATCGTCAAGGGTTGTAACTACCAGCGACACAGATCGTAATTCGCGCGATGCAACGGACGAGCGCGTTATCATTCTCGAGTTAAGCTTCTTCGAATCTCTACTGAAAATATAAACCCTTAAGAACTATGAGACGCTTCGAGAAAACAACAAATCGCCGGCGCGATTTAATATCCCTCGTTTTATCACGTCGGCGAAAAAGAAGTAAGAGTCAGAAACGTTTAAATAATATAAATTTAAAGTGGACTTTTAGTTTGACGTATCAACGATAAATAAAATTTCTACCTCTTTGATTTGCATTCGCTGAAACAATATATCCGATTACCGTGAAAAGCACATTCGAGAAGTGGCAGTTCCATAGAGAATAGAGAAATATTTAACAAATAATACGCAATTGACCGAGAAGCACGAGTAACGATTTAAGGTAGTCGTTTCGCAGAGTGTCGTATTTTCAGTATTAAGGAGGCCACTCATAAATTTAGTATTTATCAAGCAAAATTACATTTCTCTACATTTATTCTACCTAAGTAATAAATGTTTATTTGAAATGAAATTGAGATAGACATACACAATATTATAAATACGAAAATATTTTTATTTTTATTTTTCTTATTAATGCTATTTTATGCATTAATTGATTTAATAAAGACACACTGGTAATATAAAAAGGTATACGAGTGTTTAAAGTCGGTATTCATAGTCGGATCTTGCGTATTAGGCTATCTTAAGTTCATCTTCAGATATTGTATTTCATTGGCTCATTCATTTCATTAGTTGCAATACATTTGAAGATGAATTCAAGACAGTCTTAAATATAAGATCTGACTATGAATATCAGTCTATATATGAGCATATATATGTGTGTTTCGAGTATCACTATAAGTTATGAACTTTACACCGCTACATTTTCAAAACAAAGTAGTCAACAATTTTGAAATTTTTGTATAATATCTCTATTGTTAGTCCTTAATATCACAGTAGTTTTTCATAAAAATCCTACATGTGGTTTGGGAGAAATTAAAAATAGAAGTTAGAAATAAGATAATATTATGAACATAACTTCAAGGAACGCGTATAAAAAGTACCATCTTCAGTTGCGAATATCTCAACTCGAATGGTCAATCTACTTATAATTGCGTTATTAGGTTATATTTAAATCTATATATAGTGCAAGTTTCGACGAATTCTGAAAAAATTAATTTTATGCTACTTTAAAAATGAAGCAACACGTATATAACGCTGGTAAAAATATTCGCGCGGCAGAAGTTTGCGAGTGCGACGCTTGACCCGAATTTTCATCTACTTTCTAGGCCAATACCGCCAAAGAGTCAATTGATTCTCGACTTACATGTCAAGGAGTGCAGCGGCGTTAATTTCCTGGAGCACGTTCAGGTAAGTTGAGCGCTCGCACGTGACATCGCTAATTAGAAGACTTGCTTGGCGTCACGAGGCGCCGGCGGAGCTTTGGAGAGTACGACGATATTTTCGCGGTCGCGGTCGAGAGACGCCGGAATTTTATTCACCCGCCATTCGGCATCGTGTCACGTCGCGTCTACGGGAAACTAAAAGCGAACTACACTCACGCTAAGTGGTTTCGCTTACCCGATTCTCGTCAGATTAACTTACGGTTTACTAACGATCGCATCTATGCCGGCGGGGCGTAATTATTAGGCCGTGCACAAGAGCACGCGCGCGTTCAAATCATATTAAGGAAGGTAGAAGTAAATCTAATTAATTGCTTTTATTTGATTACCGGCAAAGTTCCTCTCGTAAAGTCGCGTGCGCTCGGCGATTTTTCTTTGTTTTTTTTTTCTCGTAATTTGCGAATCAATTTTTTCGCGGAGTGTTGCACACGTTGATCATAATGAGATAATAAGTCGGTAGAGGAACTCGACGCGAATGTTTGTACGATATTAGCTCGTACGTATCGAAAGGTCCGTAACGAACAGACGAGTGTTGGCGACGTGAACAAGGGATGGTACACGCGATTGACGATAATGGCACGATACCATTTCTCTTGTTGTAGGCGAAAGTATCGCTGATGGCGACGAGACGGGGGGATCTTCAGATACAGCTAACGTCCCCTCAAGGCACGAGGAGCACTCTTCTCGCCAAGAGGCCGCACGACGTTTCGAAGGCCGGTTTCAGTCAATGGCCGTTCATGTCGGTGCACACGTGGGGTGAGAGACCGCACGGCACTTGGAGATTAGAAATTCACAATGAGGGTCGATACCTCGGTAAGTCGATCATGTCGCATTGCATCTCTCACGTTTTCTTTCTTCTTTTGGGCATGATAATCGCGCGGAATGTCTGATTAACGGGGACGCGTGATTGTTGTGCCCGAAGAAGCCGCGATACTAATTTTAACGCGATACTAATTAAGATTGCGTCCGCATTTTTAACTTCGCCCTTCTCTTCTCGCTGATAAATTAATATCGCCAAAGTTTTTTATCCTTTGCTGAGACTAATAATATCGGCGCAGTTATCGGGGAGTTGTTTAGCTGATCAAGTAACTCTCGGATGGGAGATGTCTTAATTAACGAAGTTACTTTTAACATTGTAAGAACTGCGCCCGTCACGTTGACGGGCCTTCATCCGCAACTTTTCTAGTTTGCATTAAAGTTCGGAAATTTTGCGACTTTTAATGGGGCCTGAGTTTGTGCGATACCTTAACACGCGAAAATTAACACGGGCCGTTTGCGGTGTTCGTCAAGATACGAAATAATCATCTTCTCAGGTGGATCATCAATTTTCATTTCATTGAGTAGCCGAAAGATGTGTATGTACGTAGCGAACGAACAACGAATAGACAGCGAATGCGAAAGTTCGCTGTCACGAATCGGAAAATATGTGCGCTTTAACGAATCCGAAAAGAAGGTTCATATAGATACAGAAAGGTATCCTACCTTATTCTTAATAAGATTACTTAGTCTTCTCCGCAATCGGTTTTATTAACATATTAATTTTTGATAAAGTTATTAATATTCAAAATCAAAAGTTCGATTTTTCGCCAGAAAATTTCTTCTCTTTTCGTTTGTAAAAAAAAAAACGCTATAACAGATATCGAAAAAATCCTACGACGGAAATTAGATAATCAGAGACTAGATAATCTTACTAAGAATATTTATGCAAAACTACAACTAAATCGGTTCAATAGTTCCCGAGGTATTTTAGATACCGATTAGTGATGACGAGTTACACGGAAACAGTAATAACAACTATTTGTAATGGGCTTCATGTGATATGTAAATAAAAATATAAAGAATCATCCTTCAGAAGGACATCTCCATAAAATCAACAATGTGGTCAGCAGAAAAATTCAAACATTGAGCGTTATTTTGAGCTGCCCATATGTATATACATATAGCCCGTTAATTAACGCTGAAATTAACGAGAAAGGAGAGGATGACCGGACAGATTCAATTGGCCAATGAATGTCTCGAGATCCTGACGTTCTCAGTGACAGTAAACGGCCCTCTCTTTCTCGTTTATAACATTGTTCCATGAAATATAATTTCTTCAACGAGCACACGTCGAACGCTACTTTGAGTACGTCGATTCATTGTCGACTGATATTCATACGAAGACCATTACGCGCTCCGGGAGCGTAGTCTTAGATTCAAACGTCAAAGACAAAGCCTTCGAGATTACTCCGGCATTAGCCGGCAGCGTCGGGAGATGCCCTTCACTGATCTAAATTTCAAATAGGATTCCACCTCGTTCGCCATAACAATAGTTTCCAAGCGTCTCTCCGCTCCGCCGCCGTAAGGTCACGGTTACTACGTCTCCTGCCGGTAACATCCGCCACTTGCATTCGCATCCGGTCGAAAGTGTCGTCGAGTGTCCGGGGAAGGAGCTCTCGCTTCGATATCGACGCATCCGCGATTCTCGTCGCGAGGGGAACCTACTTTCGCGCCGCTCTCTTCCGCTTTGTTGTTCCCTTCGCAACGACAAATCGCGTAACAAAGGACTAATCCGTTCACACGCGTGACATCCAGACGGAATGGCTTAGACACGTCTAGCACTGCATGCGCATTCCGCGATGCGACGCCGTAGTTGCTCCGCGGTATTCTCGCAGCGCGGCTCGTGTCTGGGACGTCACCGGGAGGGCTCTTACGTAAGCCTCGCGATCACCTAAGAAGGTGCATTATCCCCGGGACCGGATAATTCCAGGATTCGAGCTCTGCACAGCCGAGAGCACAACCTTCTCCCGCTCTCAGCCCCCGACGGCAAATAGCAGCGAGACGTTTCGCGGAGCGAGGACGACGACGAGAACGCGTCGCCGATCTCGAGGCGAGCTACGAAAACTACTCCGGGCTCGCTCATCAAAGCAGATGGCTACGTAAACTTCCTTACGCGCTTATGTGCCCCGACTACACCGTCGTAGAGCCACTCCGTAACGTCGGAGTGGCTGTCCCGGTGGCGGGAGGTCTGCTAGGGATTCGGCTCGCTTTTAGATCCTATCCCGGTGTTTATACTGCCGCGAGTAG